CATGGTGCGTCAGCTGTGATCCCCAGCGCGTTCAGCGCAGCAGCTATTTGTGGGTCAGGTGCCATGGCTCCGCCTCCGCCGCCCCCTCCGTGTGCTCTTGGAGCCCGTCTCGAGCCGCCTCTCCCGCTACGGCCTCTCGAGCCGCCTCGCCCGCCACGGCCTCTTGAGCGACTGCGGCCGCGCATCAGGCGTCTTCGTCTCGAAAGCATTGCGGTGTTTCTCACCTCACTCTTGCCTAAACTCTCTGAGCCAGACAGCTGGGTATTTAGGGTTTAGGGTTTAGGGCAGTTTAGGGTCTAGGGCTGTGAAACCGCCCCTGTTTATCAAGCTCTCTTTTTGCATGTGTCGTGCACCCTTTTGTCGTGCAAAAGGCTTTAAACGTACCTGTCCGGATGACTTTGAGATTGCCAGGTAATTAATCCTCTGAAGTCGTCACACTACAAATCTAAGATATCTAAACCCTTTCCCTAAACCCTTGAAAGCCCTTGAAAAGCCCTGTAGACCCTCAAGCCTGTCCAGTCTCGATCTAGTGGCTCCTGCACCATCTTACGGTCATCCGCGCTCCAGCTGCCTTACGGTACGTGGTTTGTTTGGGGATGCGCGATGTTCTGCCTGAGCAAAAATGGTCGACACTTGAGTCTTGTTGTTAGGCTTCGCTATTTTGTTGACTTGTTTTTGGGCGAGGTGCGCATTCGGGTTGTGAATGGACGTTGTGTAAACCTGAGGGCTGTTAGGGGTTCGGGTCTACATGGTCCAACTTCATCCACTGAGTTTTTTCGAAATACCTTGCAAGGGGTCAGGCGCAAGACAGTAGCTTCGTCTTTGGACCCACAAGTGAGCCCTAAGTCCCAGGAAACATAGTCTCTGAGGTGGTGAAATCTTCAGGACACAATCCGAAACTAGTAAATTTCCCCGGCGCCCTGTTCTGCTTGGTGATTATCACCTCCTTCCCACCTCCTTCAGGCCCTGAATCAAAGCCTGGACAACCTACGGACCGAAACCCTAAGCCCTCAACTCAAATGCGGATTGTCTCAATTTCCCAGACGCCCAGGCCCAAGTTTTCCAGGGCGTTTCTCCCTCTCCACTCCCCCCCCCTCCCCCATCGCCTCTAATAAGTCGCTTCTGCCAAAGTATTGCATCAGAGATATTTCATCCAAAGCTTGTGGGTTCTATTGGTTTAGGGCGGGATCTACATCATGTCAGAGTGTACTGTAAATCCAGCGGCCGAACGTACCCTCCTGTTGCTCCGCTGCCAGGCCCACCTTGCACAGGGGTGGACATCATGTGACATTGGTGCCTCACATAGTAGGGTTTCAAAGGGAAGCATGCGGAGGCGATCCGAGGTGAAGCATGATCGGAGGGATGGCCGCAAACAGCCGCACAAAATTGAAGATATGACATGGGCTACCGACCAAGGCAGCTGAAATTTACCCGAAGCCTCCAAGCCGAAACCCCAACAGCATCCTGTAATCCGGAACGGTATCAACCCACAGGATGGGAGCCTCAAGATCTCCATCATAACCCCTCTTTGTATAAGTAGAGTAGAAGAGTGTATATATGTGCAAGTATATGTGCATGTATATGTACATATGTTTCTATATCGTGTATATATATATATATATGTACACATACACATGCAGGTATGCATAGTCATATGCAGGACATACGGATTATGGGGCATCGTAGCGAACCATGAATCTGTGTTAAATCTCCACCAGGCCCACCTCACGTGGCGGTTGCACCGGAGGGCTTGGGCCCACAAAGGCTGTCCACAGGCTCCTTGCGCTGAGGGGGAATTCTCCAAAGCTGAAAGATGTGGACAGCTGAAGAGCTAAGGGGATGACCCAGCCTCTAGAACGGTTTCAGAAGGGATGATAGGAAGGTAGTATATAAAAACAAGCTGCACCCCAAACCCTGAATAGGGTTTGAAGAACTGACAAGGCCTCGGCGACTTGGGGAATGCGATGGCATCTCGAGTTTTTGTACCAAGTACAAAGCAGAAGCAGAAGGTCCAGGCTTTATGGTGTCTCGGGTTCAGCAATTTTAAGAGCGCCGTTGACACTGTGAGGCCGCACCCTCGAGCTTGTTCTTCCTGTGCAACTCTGTAAAAATTCTCCTGCCGAAGATGGCGACGACGAGCCATTTGAGGAGGAACTTGCCCTTTGCCATGGTCCTGGCTTCTGGTCAGGCTATCTAATGCTCATCTTACCACAGTGTCACAGACGTTAAGTCACAAAGGGGCAGGGGCTTAAAGTTGAGCATTTTCAAAGGGCCCGATGGCCTACCTTGGCATTGTGTTGCCTTTGCGTTCACATTTCCGAAGCCCACGAGCCTCGAGCCTGCAGAGCTTCAAGACCGAGTTTGCAATCTACACAAGGCTGCAGGGGTGAGTGGGGGGGTTGAGTTGGTGGTAGACAATAACGAATGAATCCTTACCGAGACAGCGTGGCAGCATTCAACCACAAACACAAACACAAACACAAACACACACACACACACACACACACACACATCCGTGCCCATGGCGGCCCAAGACATGTTAGAGGCTTTGTACAATGCGGCCTCCAAGCTAAACACGGTGGCGAGTTCCAAGCGTCAGTACTTCAAACTCGTGTTCCCCTGCAGCTTGCCAAACATTCCTCGCAACAAGAGCCATACGCCCACCACAGGAGGGCGCCCCCCTAGGTGCATGTACAGGATTGCGCCAGGAACACGTTGTGACACATGTTGAAGAACCATGCTTTTCTGAGCCCCAGCAAAGAAGCCCAGAAACAAAGAGTTCAAAAGAGCGCGCTAAGGACAAGAGAGGAAAGTGCTTGGATTGGCTGGCGATTGAAACCCTAAACTACAGCCGAAAGCTTCCAGAAACAGATTCCCAGGGCACCAGCATAAAGCCCGCTTCTTACAGAACTTCGCCTCTCTACTGGCTTGCTGGCAGCTGCAAGGCCAGCAGAACCCAAACCTGAGAGCCCAACAAGGGCCCCCAAAGCTCCACCCACCCACCCACCCACCCACCCACCCACCCACCCACCCACACACACACACACACACACACACACACACACACACACAGACACAGAGAGAGACAGAGACACAGACACAGACACAGACACAGACACAGACACAGACACAGACACAGACACAGACACAGACACACACACACACACACACACACACACACATTACGAGGCAAAACCGCGGAGATTTCCACACCCACGTCCATCTGAAACTGATATCACAACCAGCTACATGTATCATAGAACCAACATCATCACCACAGAACGAGTCATGCTAATCATCTCATGGCCATGATCAGACATATCATAAAAGAACACAGGGCGCGCAAGCTCCCCAAAATAGTGGTCCTTGGAGGCTCAAGGGGCGCAGTTGCTGCGGCCGGCGCGGAATTCAAGGTTCTCTAAACCCAGGGGCGTAGAATGAAAAGAATCTTCAACTAAGGCCCCTCTTCAGCCTAAGGCCACAACCTTGGGCTGCTGCTGACAGTTCCCACACTCTGATGAGCCCAAAGGGGCAGCAGCGGCATCTGCAGATGCGACTCATGGTGACCCTTGAACAAACCCTAAACCCTAAACCCTAAACCCTAATGTTGTCTGCTGATTAGTGTGGCCCCCCCCCCCCCCCCCCCAACGAAAGGATCCCGCTCTTTAGAGGGGGGGGGGGGGGGGGGGCAATTTGGGGGGGGGGGGGGGTCTGGTTTTATATGATTTTAAAAGGGATGAGTTTATATGAATTTAAAAGGGATCCATATGATCCATATGATTTTAAAAGGGATGAGCTCGTATGAGTGTAAAAGGGATCCATATGATTCTAAACGGGTTGAGACTATATGAAATTAAGAGGGATCCATACGATTTTAAGAAGGATGAGGTTATATGAATTTAAAGGGGATCCATCTATCCCAACCAAGCCAGCCCGCAAAAAAAAATATAATTCCGGGGGAGCAAACTTTTTATATTATACGGCATCCGGGCAGCTGCTGGACTACCCCCTTTGAAATTTGATTGCCCGGCCTCGGTACAAAAGAATTTAATAAGGAAATCTTAGTTTTGGGTCTGGCCTGGAGGCTGAAGATTTCAGGGCCCGACAACCTCAGGCCTCAAGGTTTAGGAAACCTCAGCCCTTAGGCCTCTGGATCCAAACCCAACTAGCCCGCAAAAAAAATATAATTCCGGGGGAGCAAACTTTTATATTATACGGCATCCGGGCAGCTGCTGGACTACCCCCTTTGAAATTTGATTGCCCGGCCTCGGTACAAAAGAATTTAATAAGGAAATCTTAGCCCTGGGCCCGGCCTGGAGACTGAAATTTTCAGGGCCCGACAACCTCAGGCCTCAAGGTTTCAGTCTTTAAACTTTTGATCTTTGGTCTCTCAGGCTCGGTTCAGAAGCGATTTATGGACGACAACACCAGTCGACAGCCTCGCCGAAATTTTGCATCGCCCGATTTTTTTTCACAATTCCGGGGGTCCTCCTCAAATAGATCCCCCTGAATAATTTTTGGATTTTTTTCCACAATTCCGGGGGAGCACACTAATCAGGATACAACATTAAACCCTAAACCCTACTATCTCCTTACGAGAACCACACCCGCCAAGAATAGAAATGTGCTTCCTTATAAGGGCAATATAGGGAGTACCTTTTTGTTTTAGGGTGGGGGGGGGGGGGGTAGTTGTGTAGTGGAGGTTAGGGAAGAACAGGGTAGGGATCAGCAGAACCCTAAGAGTGGCAGCCCCCCCCCCCCCCCCCGTCTGAATCTTTCAGACTCCGACAACCATTCGTCTTCGTCCCAGCCGGACCGACAGTCCCAACATGTTGGGAAAGAAAGAGCCTAGTATAGGGACCCAACTTATTTGATTCGAATGGGGTTTTCAATAGTACTATAAAAAAGAAGATTTGGAACCAGAAGGAGAAAACCTATAGTGGTAACCCGTCCGACCCCTATACTCTGGGCTTGAAAATGGCCCCCTGCCGCCAAGTAGCTCCTTCGGAAACCCGGACAAGGTGTCCCTGGCTTCCTTTCGCGCGTCGGACCCGGGTTGCGGGCAAAAGCTTTTCTTTTTGGGGGTGGGTGGGGGGGGGGGGGGGGGGGAAGGACCCAGAGACTCAAAAACCCCTTCTTTAAGGAATGTCCCCTAAACTATAGTAAGGACCCCAATATGATTTCAGGTATGCTCATTAATTAAGCGGTTTTGGAGCCTCTGGGGACGTGGGATTCATTCAGCATGTTGAGGCGTTGTATCCGGAACCTATGTCGGACAACAGAGCAAGATCCTCGTGGACTCGTGGAACATGGCTATGCGATCGGATGCACGAGCCGCCGTGTAGCGTGCGGTGGTTGCCACAAAGATGTGTGACATGGCTGCATCTGTGTCGGCCGTGAGGCAAAGTCCCCCCTGCAGCACATTCCCCGCTAAACCCAGTGAAGGTAATGACCCTGTGGCCCTCTTAAATCCAAGACCAGCCAGTTCCTGTTCATCTGGGAACCTCGAAGATTTGTGCGGAACCCACCCATCCCTGCAAATGCCGAGACCAAAAACCGATCAGCTAAACCTGATGATCCCAAAGAGACACCTGGATGAAGGCGTTGTTCTCCTTCTGCAGTGCCTCTGGCTCTGAGCCGGCGGGTGGTGACTTTGGGGATTCCTCTGCGCAGATTGCGGTTAGGCTGAACCTGCCTGGGCCTTTTGCAGCACAAGCAAGTGAACAAGCGAAGCTAACTACGAACCGGAGACCTTTGGGGTCACTGTGGGCCTTTCCGTGCGCAGAGTCTCCATCCAAAGGGCAGCAAGTTATTGGGTCGCAGGGGCATTCACTATCCGCTTGTGGGACGACGGGCTGCTGTTATCGCCTTTGGGGGTATATTCAACCCTAAGCCCTAATTAAACCCTAAACCCTAAACCCTAAACCCTAAACCCTCAACCCTCAACCCTCAACCCTCAACCCTCAACCCTCAACCCTCAACCCTCAACCCAAACCCTATAAGCCCCATGCGGGTGTATAGGGTTTAGGGTTTAGGATTGCACAAGTTTGCTTCAAGGGCATGGAGGGTCGACGCTTCGTTCTTGTCAAACTACGAACCCCTGCTTCCGCCAAAGGGCTCTGACTGGTTGATGAAACAAAGTGTTTTACAATCAATTCTGAGCCGTTCGAGAGCTGACTTGTGATTTCAGATTGGCTTGGATGGGCTCGGAAAATGGAATGTTGAGGGTTCTCTAGATGCTATGCCCGCTCTGTATCCGGGACCATCATTTAGAAAACGCCCCGTCTGATTCTGGGATGGCCCTGAAAACCCTCTGAAAAAAATTCCTGAATACGATCCTCTTAAACCCAATAAGGGAAAATAAAAAACTATCCCAAGGGCCTAGGATTCTCTTCCAAGAGGCGATCTCTTCTGGTGAATCTGCGGTCCTGAGTCGTCAACTCGAACGCATGTGCCCCCCCCCCCCCCCCCCCGGTTTAGGGTTTCGGGTTTAGGGTTTAGGACCCCCCCCCCCCATCCTCCTCCTCCAGGATCCTCAAGACTGTCGCAGGACTTCCAGCCGAAGTCTTCTGAGGATTCTGTTATGTGAAAACTGAACTCGAAGCTTTCTGCACAAGGTTTAGGGTTTCGCGGTTCGGGTTAGGGCTGCAGAAACACAAAGCTGTGATTAAACAAGTTTACAAGTCTCTTGGGATCAGTTTCCAATTAATCTTCATGCCCTCCTCCTATGGAGAAACCGCTTGAAGTTGTGGTGGAAAGATGCCCAGGATGGCCTTGCCTCGCATCCCACGCATTGAGGTTTATAGGGGTTCAGCACCTAAACCCTAAACCCTAAACCCTAAACCCTAAACCCCAAACCCTAAACCCTCAACGTGGTGGGCATCCCTGACTCCAGCAAGAGGCATATCGGCGCCAAACCATTTTTGCACCTCGCCTTGGATCCAGCTTGGTTTTTGGGCCTGGGGGTTTAGGGTTTAGGGTTTAGGGTCCTTGTGGGGTTTTATGGTTTTGGGGAATGTAAGGCTTAGAGATCAGGATTGAGGCTTCCTAACCATTCAGCATGACTAGCGGCCATGAGACTAGTGAGAGAAAATTACACCTTCGGACTTCTAGTTTTAGATACCTTCTCGGCAGGGTTGCGTTGAAGAGCCCTGGAAGAAGAGGGCAAGCTTTGTTGCATCGAGGCCCCCAGGTAACAAACCCAATAGGGGGAAGCTCAAAGAGGGAGCCTAGCAAAGCCAACCCCCTCACACTCCCTACATCGCCCGAATATTAAATTTAGGGCTTAGGGTTTGGGGTTTAGGGTTCAAGGTTTCAGGGTTTTAAACACAAGGTAACCAAACACAATTGAAAACAAACGGGCCCCTGTACTCGATGAGGGAGAAGTGACAAGTGCTACGGCAATGAGGAGCCCTCCCCTAAGCGCAAATCAGCCATGGGGCTTCAAAGGGGCTCCCATATATCCCTGAAAAGTTAGCTTAAAGTTACCGGCTGATCAACTATCATTACTTGAAAATGTCATGCAACTCCATGTCCTGTACACTGCAACAGCCTCCCAAGTCCAATACTTGCGCTGCCCCCGCAAGTCGTCCAATGCAAAGTTGCTCAGGGCTTGCTCGTGAGCATGGATGTAGAGAAGGATGGCGCAAACACATCCTCGTGTCACAAGTTGGATGTGTTGAGGGCCCGTGGCTTTCCACAACCAATAAGGCTCCGAGAAAAAAAAACCTAAACCCTGAGCCCGTTTTTGAACCCAGACTCTGTAAGCCTGAGCCCTAAACCCTAAACCCTCAACTTTCACTACCACCCGAGAAGGGTTTTACCTTGATGTGAGGCTCGATAACCTGAGCCCGCCACGTGTTTAGGGTTTAGGGCTGAGCATTCGTCAGGGGAGATTCAGTTCTTCACGAATGTAGGGTATACAGGGCGTTCAGGCCCTCCACGCCGTGCTTGCGCAAGAATCCGAACAAAGCCTTCTCCATCGAAGTGGAGTGTGACGCGGTTTAGGGTCCAGGGTCTCTCTTTGCTTAGGGCCTATAGAGTTTAAGTAGACACAACGCACAAACCCACTGGAGATTGAACGCCACAGCTCGAGCTTCAACCACCCTAAAGCGCCGATCACAAATGGCACTCCCGCGTGACGCGGAAAACCCTAAACCCTAAACCCTAAACCCTAAACCCTAAACCCTAAACCCTAAACCCTAAACCCTAAACCCTAAACCCTAAACCCTAAACCCTACACACAGGTACGACGACGCCTTTGCGGGACACAGCTTCCTTGCAAGGCCTTGAAAAGGCATACTCTCTACAATCCTGCTGAGGTGCGCCCCAAGAAGTACTGCAAAGCTGCATCGCCACAGCTAGGGCCTGCAATACCGTAAGCTTGAAATCCTCCAACTCATCTACGTCCTACCAGACCCCTGGGAAGATCCAAACAACCGAACCCCCAAATAGTACCCTATAGGAACCCTTAAGGGGATCTATTTTTGGATCCTCCCAGGGGTCTGGGTAAATATAGCCCTGAACCCATAGCCCTAAACCCTATAAACCCCCTAAACCTTAAACCCTAAACCTTAAACCCTAAACCCTGAGGGTAAAAACAGCCCAGCATCTCTCTTGGAGATCTGGACGCCCAGCCAGGCTCTTGAAGGAGAAGCTCACGCCACGGCCACCTCAATGCCACCCTAAACCCTGAACCCTTTTAGGGTGTAGGTTTAGGGTTTAGGGTTTAGGGTTTAGGGTTTAGGGTTTAGGGTTTAGGGTTTAGGGTTGACCCTAAGCCCTAAACCCTGCAGTTATGCGAGGGTTCCGGGTGCCAAGAGATCCTCAGCATCCTCAATCCAGCACCCTGTGCAGCCTTTAGCATGATCTTCAGAGATCACAGGCCTAAGCCATAAGCCCCGAACCCCCTAAACCCTAAACCCTAAACCCTAAACCCTAAACCCTAAACCCTAAACCCTAAACCCTAAACCCCTAAGCCAAGACGCGGTTTCCCTCCACTGCCGACAGCCCGAGCATTTCCGCCAGCAGCTCCTTGGCTGAGACCATAGAGGGCTTTAGGGTTTAGGGTTTAGGGTTGAGGGTTGAGGGTTGAGGGCTTTAGGGTTTAGGGTTTAGGATTTGGGGGCGTAATATATACAAGTGATTCTGCAGGGTATGGGGTTTGGGGCCCTACGATTTGGTGCTGTTCTGAACCCAGTCCTGGGCTGGCACTTCAAACTCTCGGAAACAAGTTCGCAAATATGACTCGACCCGAAATCCTGAAACATAAGCCCTAGACCCCAAACCCTAGCCATTCGACGTCGAACTCCGAACCTGGCAACTGAAAGCACCAAAGCAACAGCACCAGTGCCTCTCGGCCTCACACCGCACTGCAGGGTTTAGGGTTTATAACGTTTAGGGTTTAGGATTTGAGGGTTTTTTTGCCACCTGCCTAGCAGACCCTCTAGGATCACGCCGCAGGGAACTTATAAGGTTTGAGGCTTGTGAGGCTTGGGATAGGAACCGGGGAAAGCCAGCAGCTAAGCCCCCTAAACCCTAAACCTTAACCCTAAACCCTAAACCCTAAACCCTTAACCCTAAACCCCCGCTTAGCTTTTTCGGGGGAGCAAGGAAAGGCTGCTTGTAGCCAGGGCACCCACTCCTTGAGTCCGTCTTCCGTATCCACGCAGGCCTGCGTTTGTTTTTTTTGGGGGGGGTTTTTCAGGGTTTGCAGGGCTCTTAGTAGGGTTTTGAGGCTTTTTAGGGCTTTGTAGGGTTTTGGGATTGCAAATTTGTTGATGAAGTACTGTAGAGGATCAAAGAATGTGCCAACGGCTTCTGCGAAATTCAAGGTCGCATGTCGCATTGAAAGGTAAACATGGACACACCGGCCTTCAAAAAATCACAGGGCTGCGGCTCATCATGAGCTTGAGGGTGTTTTCTTTTCGCTCTTGGATAGCCTTCGGCCTTATCACTCGATCCTGAATAGCCCACATACAGAGTCCCTGTACACCTAAGTTAAGTCGGGCTCCTCTCCCACTTAAGGTCCACAAATGAGGGTCCCTCCTGCAGCCCCCTAAAAGAAGCAATTCCATTTGTAGTGCAGTTGGGCTCATTCGCAAGATCGAGGTTTTGCGAAGGTGGAGCTGTGTGGTTCGAGGTTTTCGGGCGCTATCTGTGATGCTTCGACCTTGCATTCTGAAGCCTATATGCTCTTGAAACCCTCTCTGAAGAATATTCCTCCTAAACCCAAAAAGGGGGGAAATCGAAAATATCCTCAGGGCCTACCTAGTACGTATACTCAACTTCTTAATGCGCCCTCAGCCCCTGCTCGCCTCGTCCAGGGATGCCAGGAGGATAACGGCTTCCGGGGATGTGCGGCTGACAGCGCCATGCTCGAACATCTTCTTGTAGATACCTTTGGGGGGTTCAGGCTCCAGGTGCTCGGGTTCCAGGGTTTAGGCTTGGCATCTTGAATTCTTGGTTTGGGGGCGAGGCTAGAACGAACACACACCGGTGCAACAAAAACAAGGAAGCACAACATGGGTCCAACAAGTGATCCAAATTGTAACATGTCAATAAGTCAATAATGATCTGCTAGAAGAATCACAACACGAAGTCAAAGCTTAATATTTCTTTCCTCGTTGTAATTTTGCTTGTCCACGAATGCATGTTGCACGTCCTTTGCGTCATTCAAGCATTGCAATACCTTACTCAACTATTGGAAGCGAGCTTGCTTCTCCCAGGCTCACTTGTTCTCTTCGTACATACAATTCTGCTTTGTGCATCAAATAACTGAAGTGAAAGGTAGAAGAAAGACGACATGCAGCTGCCATCCGAACATTGCTTTTTGTGGAAGCAAGAGATCACGACCCCGCCATCTTTTGCAAACGTAGTCAATGCTTGGGGCTTCCCCTTCTTCGGGAATTCATGCACTCATTCTCTTTGTGCTTGCTGCCAAATCAGCAGTACGAGCAAAGGCCTTGCTTGATTCCTGCGCTCGCATGTAATTTGTATCTTTGAGCGATTTCGCCTGTTGACTATGCTTCTTCGCGCTGCCGACCTTTCCTGCCATGGACCTGGCTCATCCTCTATGATCGAGGTGCTCTAAAGGCACGGTCAGGGGGGCTAGGGGGTATGAGGATTTACAGTACTTCAGATGTTCTGAAATAGATCTCAGTGGCTCAGCCTTCAACCGAAAACCCCCGAACACTTAAAGTCTGATGAACCCCTTCGCTATACTCCCCTTAGAACCTTAATAAAAACTGTATTTTTAATGTCCTCTTGGATTTCAAAAAAACAAATTCCCAAGGGGGATATAGTTCGCGCTGGACGAACATGCAGCTCATGGGCTTCGCGTCGTGCGCAGGAGTGCTTGACGAAGTTGGTTCAAGATGGTCCTGGGAACAGAGGGTTTAGGGTTTAGGGTTTAGGGTTTAGGGTGTAGTCGCTCACTCTCACACAAGGCCGGCAAGGTTCGAGATGTGGTTTAAGGTTTATAGGGCTTTTGGCAATACTTTTTGAGAACCATGCCGTTGTGATGCGGTGCAGGGCCAACCCGGCGTAGATGCATATTTCTTGAAACTAAGGAAGACACTTTGGTGGCTGACGCGATCCGTTTTTTCGCACGGCCGCCATGTAACACCCCGCATCAGGGGCAATACTCGGCAGTCTATCATATGTTTACAATATGTCAATCTAGTTCAACCCATATCGTACTAATATTGAGATTGCTCACTATCAATATTAATATTCAAGCATTATCTATACACATATATATATATATATTTATTTATTTATTTACTGATTTATATATGTACATATATATATAATTATTTATTTATATTACAGATGCACTGTTTACAGCAGTTATATGGTCAAGTCACAGCCATTGCACATATCTCGGCGACTGCGCGCGCTCTGGCCCCATTGTCGGCAAGAAGTTCCGTGTTCGCACGCCGTCTTCCCCCGCTGCTTCTCGGGCGGCTTAGGTACGTCACTCCCGGGGTCCAGATGCCGTTCCTGCGCAGCAACTCCCCTGCAAGGAGACCCTAAACCCTAAACCCTATAAACCCTAAACCCTAAGCCCTCGTCAATGGCTGGTGAGGGTCTGGGGCAAGGAGTCCAGACATCTCTCAAAGCACACGTAGGCATCAACAACAGTACGCATTGATGATCATGGACCGGGCACATCCCACCCACTCCCACGCAGTTGGCTGACCTTCAATGGCATTTCTTCAGAGAAAAAATCCGAAAATTCGGTACCCAAAGTAGGACATAAATGCATATGTATATATATATATACTGACAAACAAAAGGGTCAATATAGACATGTATATAGCCACCAACAAAAGGTTCGAAGTATTTATATATATATAGCCACAAACAAAAAGGGTCCAGGCACATCCTGGGATTCCCGAAGCCTAATTAGTCTGCAAGTCATGCTGAGGGCTCGTCGGATTCTCCTCACGCACCTGGGAGCCGACTTTTCGTGCTGGCAGTGTAAAGAGGGAGTTTAGGGTTTAGGGTACACCTTCTTGGGGGCGTAGCGTGTGGCATGCGGTACTCCGAAGCGCTTGGATGGTTCCTGGCTCCCACAGACTGACCCCATGACTTTTCGATGGCAGTCGCAGCCACTATGGTTTCGGGTTTAGGGCGTCAAGGGCTTTAACTTAATTTGGCTAAGTTGATGAGCATGCCCTGTCCTTGTGCCCCCCAAGTTGACCCTCAACCACCTGGCTTTGCGAGAGATTCGGGAATGCACGTCCCACCCTAGACGACACGGAACACGAGCAACCACCCTCAAGTACCGCGAGCCAAGGCACCGTGGAGCTGGCAGGAAGCGGCTCCTGTCCAGGAAACATGCTGTGTATGGGGCTTCGGGCTGTGCCTGTGGGCACTTGTAAGGGTTCTCGCGGTGCTTAAAGGCTAAACATCCCCAAGCCCCAAACCCTGAAAGGGGGGTGTAGGATGGTGCATGCCTTGACTGATCAGGTGCTTTCAGGATGCTAACTTAAACCATTTAAAGACCAAGTGCTCGAACATGAAATGCAGCAGAACTCGCATCAGATCTCCGCTTACAACTCATGTGCTCCGATCGCCTGAGGCATAATGTTTAAGGAGACCCAACCATAGTATAAATACATAATTCCTACGGAGGCCAGGAACAATTTGGCACAGTATCCTTTCGTGTAGTCTCGTATTTGTTGACCTGGGCGTGCTTCCCGGAGACTATGCTTTGAAATCTTGTGGGTCGGCTTCCCGGCTTCAACCCAGGTTTAGGGTTTAGAGTTTTAGGGTTTAGGATTTAGGGTTAAGGGAAACGCTGGGCCTGAGCACAGGCAAGGAAGACATCGAATATCGGGATTCGGGCTTGGGGCTATAAGCCTATAGGCTCAGGGTTGCAACGCTCGAGACTTCGAAGCCCAAGCCTTTTCAGGCATGCACCCCTGAACTCGAACGCCCGAGACGTAGATCCAGTCCGCTTTTCTGCAATTCTTAGTTGTCCACGAACCTGATAAGGGGAATCTATTACCCCCAAAAGGTTAAAGGTTACCTACTCTATACTGCTAGGAATTTTCGGAGGGCCTCGGTTAGGGATGGAACCATCTTCTTCAAGTAGCTCTCGGGCACGTCCTCCAGAGCACGAGTTGATCGACCAGGATTAGCATTTAGGGTTTAGGGTTTAGGGTTTAGGGTTTAGCTTCGCTTTTATTTGTGCATCAGGGCAAGCCAATCCCAAGCCTGAACCGGGAACAAAGCCAAGTACTTACTGTACATCGTGAAGGAAAATAACTACCTTTGAGTCTTCATCTTCATAGGGCCCGTAGGGCAGAGGATCTGGACATATCTGGACTGCCCAGGCAGAGGCTTGTCCCCTGAACCCTAGACCCTAGACCCTAAACCCTAACTAGGGCTTCTGAACGTCCGACGCTGAAAGACTCGGGGAGCACCCGGCTGTCCTTGGTCAACTCGCTCGATGACCTGGGCCATTCTGCGATCACAGGAATCAGCTCCTACCCTGGCCCCTTGCAAACCTAAACCCTAAACCCTAAACCCTAAACCCTAAACCCTAAACCCTAAACCCTAACGCAGAACCGCTCAGCCGCTCGAAGCTGTGACTGATACAGCCCTGCTTCGTGAACCGCGTTTACGCAACCCCATGTACGAAGAGACACCGATGTGCAAGGATCAGGGTTTAGGGTTTAGGGTTTAGGGTTTAGGGTTAGGGTTTAGGGTTTAGGATCCAAGCCTAAGCCTTTTGAGACTGGTCGGCTCCTTGTTAACACCTCTCTCTGGACTCCGCCGCCAGTTGGGGAACTCAGGTGCCGGCTCCTCATTCATAACCTGCGGCATCCCGACAGGGATTTGCTCTACCAAGAAAGCCAGGCTTTGGAATTCGGAAGAGGTTCCTGAAATCCGGCACAGTGCCAGGCCCGAAAAGACAAAGCAGTTGCCTCCTGCATCTGCGTCTTGCTCCTCTGTGCCACCGCATTCCACACCTCCTCCAACATCTTCTCCTTCTCCTGCACAAGCCCAAAGAAACCCCAAAGCTTAAACCTGCTGGCTCGGGTTAGTTCGTGTGGGTTAGGTTGGCTCAGCGGCCTGAAATACAAAACGCTAAATCATCGATCCTTAGGCCATAAGAACACAGAACCGACTTCTTTGCAACGTAGGCTCAGGCGTTTCAGGGCTTAGGGTTCATTATTGTGTGGTTCAAGATTACCTCCACAAGGGGGGGTGCCTGCATGATGATTCCCAGATTACGACCAAAATGCCCATAGAACGATGGATGACAGCACCCTATAGAGGTCAATACACTTACACTCACTCGACGCACGAAGTGGAAACCTGAAAGCCATCTTTTCTCATCTCGGCCTCGAATCCCAAAAACCCTGAACTCAAGGCCTAGGCCGCCCCCCTACAGTTGGGGGGCGGCGCCTAAGCCCCTCCACCTCAATGGCGCAAGCCGACCCAGGTCGTTCGCCCACCTCCCACAGCTCGGAGGTCGGTAGCACCCGCGGTGGGCCCCGTGCCGGAGCACGTTCTCGTGGGGACCAGCTGGTCCCTTATTAAAGTCATTATACTTAACAGGGAGCTTCTGGGCGCCTGGCCCCGCTGGCCCGCTGGCCCCCCCGACCCCCCCCCCTGCTCCTCTGGCCTTTCTGGAGCCCCTGGCACGGCCCGTCCCCTCAACCCCTGCCTTTGCCCGACCCACCGACCATTCCTTTGACTCTCGGACCCAACCCCGAACGTCATGAAACGGAATAAGTTTTCAGAAGTGGACTGTTGCCTTGAGTTTAGGCCTAAACCCTGAAAGGAATAGGTTTGGGTGGCTTTGCCGCCTCGGACGTGGGGTGGGAGAAAGTGTTAGATGGCCCTCCACAATCGGGCCAAAGCTGCTCTTCGCACCTCACGAAGCCTTCGAGCTTGTTCCGAGACCTAGCTTCACAGCACCTACGCCCTATCACAGCAAACCCTAAATCCTAAACCCTATAAACCCTAAACCCTAAACCATAAACCTCAGCCCACCCTGCAGTCCTCCACGGTGGCCATCATCCCCAGCCTTTGCAACACCACGGGCGCGAAGGTGCCGTTGATGAGCAAGGTCATGGTCGCAAAGCCGCTGATGTGAAACAGCACCTTCAGCTCTGCAGGGTTTAGGGTTTAGGGTTTAGGGTTTAGGGTTTAGGGTTTAGGGTTTAGGGTTTAGGGTTTAGGGGTTAGGGGTTAGGGGTTAGGGTTTAGGGTTTAGGGTTTAGGGTTTAGAATTTTGTGTTTGGGAGCTGGGAGTCTGCAGATGACCTTTAAGTCGGGTGATTCACACGGCTGGGGCCAAGGCTGTTAGCCCAAACTGGCCTAATCCTGCGTAGCCTGGTCCTGCTTAGGATGTGAGGTGGTTCTATACAATGCAGCTTCCCGGCAGCGAACTCTAACGTGTTTGATTCAAGCTGCCCTTTCAGACTCCGGCTAATGTACAAAAACATGCGCTGGGTTGTTACATTGCCGCGTCTCAGGCATGTGTTCTGACCCAGGAAATTCTTTCTACATTGATGTTAGTTACGCACATACGGAAAGCTACCTGACCACCAACCCAATCCAAAAAAGTGAACAGCGTCCCAGAAACACTCACACAAGGCATACTTTGCTGGCTATCCGGAGCATGGCCGCTCCCACCGTGCCATATTGAGGGTTGGTTGGGTAGGCCATAAGTTGGTAGTTCTCTAAGTTCGGGTCCCTTTGCGGGGTCCCCTATATAATTATATAGTATGGCACCCTGAAAATTAAGGACCCCGAAGGGGGGCCCAGTATAGAGAACTACCCAAGTACTTCTGCACTCAGGGCAAAGTTCGGTTCGAGGCCACCACCCCCTAAACCCTAAACCCTTTTGCAACGAGCTTGGCTGTGCTCCCGCCCGGCTTGGCTGTCCCTAAACCCTAAACCCTAAACCCTAAACCCTAAACCCTGGGCTCCGCTTCGGAAGGTGCCGCGTCTAGTCCGCTCCTTGTGGTTGGTGCAGAGACCGCCGAAAAGTGCCCGAAAACTTAGCCCAACCCGAAACCCTAACCCCTAAACCCCAGAACCCTAAATAAGCCCTAAAGCCCCAAAACCCCAAAAACCCTCAAAACCCTAAAAAACCTAAAAACCCTAACACCCTTAACGCCCTGTCACCCCAAAACCCTAAACAACGCGGCCCCTGAGGGCCTGTGAGCCTTGGAGCTCATTGATGCTCGTCTCCTGTGCAAGAGAAAGGTCTTCGAGCCATGGGCCCTGATTGCCGGGTACCCCCCACTGAGTACGTAAGTTTGGGGTTTAGGGTTTGGGGTTTAGGGTTTCCACTGAATGCTTGAGCTTCGCTCCCGCTTAGCTGGCCGAACCGCAGGCAGGGCCTGGATCCGTTCGTTCTTGGCGGAAAATGTGGGGGACAGTCAGTTCTTGGGTTTAGGGTTTAGGGTTTAATTAGGGTTTAGGGTTTAGGGTTTAGCTCTACAAGGCACACAAGAAGGTGAAGGTTGCAAGGTGCTAAGGAGAGCTGAACACGTGCCCGCCGATCTTCAAGTCTGAGGCCTGGTTTCATTAGGCCCAGTTATCCCTAAATGGGTAGTAGGGGAAACCATGGCTCCTACACCCTCCCTGAAAAATCAACTCTCCTTAAACAACCTTCATTAGGCCTAGTTGTCCCGAAATGGGGGGGGGGGGTAGTTGGGGAAACCACGGCTCCTTACACCCCCCCCCCCCCCAAAAGAAGCCTATGAAACTTGCTGGGCGATCCTGATCGAGGAGTACTGCCATAAGCAGGCCAATCGCACCGCGAAGCCCAGACCAAACCTTTCGGACGCGCGGCTGGTCTTTGGGGTTTAGGGTTTAGGGGTTAGAGTTTAGGGCTTAGGGTGTATAGGGGTTAGGTTCAGGGTTGAACTGAGCGCTTCGCGTCTTGGAGGGGTTGACGTTACACGTTGAAACCCTCCAAGACGCCAAGCGCTCAGTTCGGCCCATTGCTTCGCGCGGCCAGCAAGTGATTTTCATGTACTGGATTGACACTTCTTGGCGGGCTACCCTAAACCCTAACCCTAAACCTATAAACCGCAAACCCTAAACCCTAAACCCTCAACCGTGTTTTTTGGGTTGCTGCGCAGCGGCCATAACGACGCCATCCTTCCAGGTCAGCTTCACGCTGGCCACAGCCTACCAGTAAGGCAGGATCTCAGCAAGGCTTGGGGACATAGTCTTTGTTGTTTAGGGTTTAGTGTTTAGGGTTTAGGGTTAAGGGTTCCGGGTTTAGGGTGCAGGGTTTAGGGTTTTTAGGGTTCACGGTTATAGGGTGCAGATAACTCATTTCGTACACATCATATGGGGATTTACGAGAATGAGGGACCCCAAATATAGACCCCAAATAGTAGGATTCCCTTATAATGAGGACCCCAATGAGGTACCCCTCATTTCGGAAACTCCATATACCGCCGTATGTATGTATGCTTCAATACGGTGCGCTAACACTGTGAGACCTTTCTGCCTGCTGCTCTCCGCTTTCCGGCCACATGGGGCATTGATGCTCACCATGAACACACAGACAAATACGTATGTATGTGTATATATATATACATCTACATACATATACATATGTGTATATATATATATGTATGATACACTAATACTACATTTTCTGACATTATTTTATATTATCTTAAATGCAACAGAACGAGGAGAGGACAAAGTGAAGAAGCGCTGACGTCGAAACCAGAAGATCCCAAAGACCTTTGCTCTCAACTTCCGATCCGAAATTGTCAAACACGTGCCTTTGAAGCACCAAAGCTCCACCCTAAAATCCCAAATCCAGAAGACTGCGGTGCATTTTGCGTGACCTGCATCGGGCACCAGAAGAGAGCCTCGTTCGTAGGACTTCTATGCTTCCACATATCCGTGTGCATGAAACGGAAACCCGTTTGGGCATAGGGTTGTCTTTTGGGGAAAAAAGGATAGGGCCAACAAATGCAAAGGGTGTGGAATGGCTTGAGCGAACCGCGTTCTGAGCTCCATGGAGGTGCTTGTGGGGTTTAGGGGCCTGGAGGTTGCGAGTTGGGGGCTTCGAAGCGATCTTTGAAGGGGAAGACCTAGCCCGAAGGAAGTAGCTCTGCGGGGAAGTGAGCTCTCTCTCTCTCTCTCTCACAGGCAAGGCAGCTTCAAGGAAGTGAGCTGTCGGAGACTCTTTCCTTCGCGTCTGCATGCTCACGCGGTCAGGCGTCCTCCCTCTCCCTCTCTCCCTCTCCCTCTCTCTCACTCTGGTGATGTCGCTGTTTCTGCTTCTACATGCTTTCGTCAAGAGGGCATGGGTGCGAAGTGGCCTGATGGCCTCAGAGTCACTGCTCTGCGTCAGGCTTCTTTTCACAAGTCTTTAGCCACGCAGCCACGGTAATTCCCCGGATCGCCATGAGTGCAGCGTACCTTGGCGGGCATTCTCTGTCACAAGCCGCGCCTCAAATTCTGCCCTCGAAATTTGAGGTAGCCACATGGGAGGGGGGGGGGGGGAAGGTCTCTTAATGTTTTGGGGCGCACCATGAAGATGTTGCGCAGAAGGAAACCCTGTCTGAGGGAACCCCAGCCACCGGCAGTTTCTTGCAGAACTGCCCTTCAGCCACTCATCGCCCGTCCCTAAACCCCATACACCCTATGTTAAACCCTTTTTCTAGGGAGCCGGGACCACAATCCGCACCGGACAAAAGCTTAGTTGCTGAGTTCATAAGCCCCCCAAAAGTGTACACTTTCAGTTCCATATAGGATTATAGTATCGCAAAACTGTAAAGTGCACGCACTCAGCACCTAAGAAAGTGTTCTTTGACAGCTAGGATGTAAGGTTTACTTTCCTCCCAGCATTGCCCTAGACAAAAACAACTTTGTAGGTAGGCAGTCTGTTGCTCAAGTCTTATAGAGGCGATGGTTGGGTGGGTGCGGGGGAGCCTGAAGTATAACAGGAGAAATGGATTTGATTAAGCCCGTGTGCCTGTTGACCCCTTGGCTGGCTACCGCTCTCAAAGCTTGCCCGCGATGCATCGTTTCTTGTGCAGGCAAGGCGCATGACCAACCTTGGGGCAGGCGGGCAAAACATGCATAGCTCCGAAGCGCTTTTCACACAAGCCCCTGAACTCAACACCTCATTCGGGTCCAGACAAGTAAAAACTCACCGAAAACAACGCAACTACAAGTACAGCCGATTTGAGGACATGAACATCTAGCGGAATCTAGCTGTCCCTCACTTGCTCCCAGCTCTCAAACTTGGGGCCTCTCCAGGGAGGGCCGCAGTCCTAGCTTCAACATATGTTACGTTGGCTGATCCACGCGAAATGCATGTAAAGTGTGGAGGTCCGATCCCTGAGCCTGCGGGGCACACGCCGTTCTCAGAAGGCAGTGTAGAAGAGCAACAGCACAAGTCCCAGAGGTCCTAGAACAATCCCAGACCCTTTGTTGAGCAGAGCTGCATGAAGAGCCAGTCTCTCCAGGAAATGTTGGGGTGGTTCAGCATGACATCTCCTCCATGAGACGCAAATGCCGGGACCCGGCATAGTTTATCGGCAAGTCGTGTAAAGGGTTCACGATCTCTGCCTTTAAGGTTATTGGGAACACCCTCGGACCTTCTCGCACGCAAAGTACGAAAACCTTTGGAGGCCCTGCAAGTACCCTGAACCAAAACGACAACACAAACAAGCCTTCCACATCTCCAAAGCCCTACAAACTCTGGAGCCCCATGCCCCTTCCTGAGATGATGCCGGCAAGCCTTGGCTGACTCAGGGCGAAGTGTTGGGGATTTTGTTGCCACGCGCCAAGCAGAACAGCCACGCCGCAGGGCAAACACTTCGGGACGATGGGTGACGATGGAAATGCTGTGCAAAGGCCACGGTCAAGGACGCAGTTTCTCTACTCGTTCCGGGCTTCAACTCGCACAGTTCACGCGCAGGCGCAAGGCTCCAAGCTTGGTGGGTGTAGGCTTCCGGGCTGGGCCCGAGAGCCCGGAACCAAAAGGACCCACAAGAAGTCCAACATTCAGGCAGCATAATATAGGGCCCTGAATAAATCGAATAAGGTCTTGCGGATTATTCGTGTATTGTATTAGGGGACCCTACGGGCATACTAGTAATAATTCCGACCCCTATATTAGCTGGGCCGCATGAACACCAGCGTGTTGCCCACAAACTCCACGATGTGCCAGACGGTGTGTAGGACCTCGAAGGGCCCGGATGTCGGAAGGGCCCTGACCGAGTATACCTGCGACCTGGACCTTCAGAATTTGAATTCAGCTTCAGATCTTACAGCCTTAAACTTCTACGTCCCATCTCTTCCTTACCCGAACGCCCCCCCGCAAACAGCTCTGAATGGTGTACCGGAATGAGTTCATTCCCACGCGTCCCCCGACGCCTCGGGGGAGACGAAGCGGGGGCCGGCATACTTGGCCAAGACGGCTCCTTCAGATGGCTTGCGCTTAGGAACAATATGCCTGCACCCCCCGCCCCTTTCATTTTTTGCATCTTCTACCATGTTGTTGTTGTTCGAAGAAGACACAGGACGTCAAGTCGCGGCGTGCGGCTAGCGACGTAAATAGATAGATGGCCATGTATACATGTATGTGTGTGTATGTATATATAGCTGCAAACTGCATGGCTGCTGCGCAGCTTAGCAATCAGAGAGCAGTCGAAACGAGCACGTGGCACTCGTTTTTGCAACATTTTGTCCTGCGACCACGACCGTGAGCACGCCGCTGGCTGCGAAGCCCTCCTGCGGAAGGGTTTCGGGTTTGTAGGGCTTGTGGTAGGCTTACGTAGAGTTTTCATTGCGCTCCCGCACGGCTGGACGAAAGCACAGATTCACGCAGCGGCTTTGCTCTAGGATGGGAGGGTGTACAGGTAGCCCATGACTTTCAGGGGTCCATTGTGCCCTGAAGACCTGAGGAGGCAAGAGATTGGGCACCTCCGCCCAGAAGAAGGCAAGGTATCCAAAGGCCACCTTAAAGCTGTAAGAAGTCTCGTTCTTCAGCAACGTTTCGGAGCCAAAGACTTTGGGGCCTTTGGGGAGTTTAGGCTGAGGCTCCAGAGGGTTTTGGACAGAGAAGGCCTCGGTTATCTGAGAATTTAGGAGGACTGGCAACCGAAGCCTTTCGAAAAGCAAGGGCAACTCCAGTCATCCCTTTCTGCAACTGTCTCGCGATGCATCTGGTTCTCAGCTGCGGGTAGCCCTAAACGGTCAACTCTAAACCCTAAGCTAAACTTTACCCCTAAACCCTAACTGAAACCATGGCAGCCAAGAGGCCGTCAACAGCAGCTGACTCAGAATGTCGCCATGGTAACGCACATCGCTGCCCCAGAGTCCCAGGAGGTACACGGCTGCATAACCTGCACGGAAGAAAGCAAAAGCCTACTACTGCAGTTCAGTAATTAAGGCTTGCTGCACGGTTTGGGGTGTTTAGGGGCTACGAAAAACCGAGGATCCAGTCGTAAGGCGGATTGGCAAGGGTTTCGCATTTTTGTTGGGGGCTATATTCCCGGTTGAAGAAAGAGCCTTGAAAAAGCCCCGGTCGGAGTTCAAGTATCCCGGTCAACCCGCATGATGGCAACTCCGGGACGGAAAGTTTGCTTTTGGAACTGCCCGTGTGGGGCCAAACGCTCTACCTGCTAGCGTCTCTGGCATGGCTCTTCCAGTCTCTAGTGCCCCCTTCGGGCCTTGGGGCACATCTTATGCCTAGGCACCTGACAAGTCACCCTTAAAGCCTGTTGGCTTGCCTGGATGATACCGTCATTACTCTAGCCCCGACATCTCGTGTGCCAACCAGGATGAAACTCAGCCCTGTCTATGACACGCGGGCGACGCGGGCCAGTTGACCAGCCCGTGGTGAACTGATGTCCAGGCAAGGCAGCTTAAAATGTCCGGCCTCCAAGTGCGCCCAACAGTGGGCCCAAGACCACGCCTCCCAAGCACGAGGCTTTAGGCTCTGGAGCGCTTCCAGAAAAGCACGGTATAAGCTCTCGTCGGGTTTAGGGTTTAGGGTATGGGGCGGGTTTCTGGTTGAGGGTTACTTGCGCTACATGTCTTGGAGAGCAAGTCTCAAAAACCGCGGGCGTGCCCACCCAAACCCTAAACCCTAAACCCCAAGCCCCAAACCCTACACCCTAAACCCTAATCAGCCCCCAGCCTCGGAAGAGGAATGCAGCGAGACCCGAAGGGGTTGTGAAGGAGGAGTCCATATTGGCAATCAGCATCCTTGGTTTGTTTCTTAACGCCATCCTGGGATTTAAGGTTTCGGGTTTTGGCCAAAATCCACGGGCCAGGGCGTTAACAGAAAAAATACGCAGCGTGACACAGGGATCCTACCCGTAGAAACGGAAAGCGTTTGCCAGATCCAACCCAGGCATCATCTTGAAGAGGTTGAAGAAGACCTGGGCTTCACGTGGGAGGGTTTAGGGTTTAGGGTTTAGGGTTTAGGGTTTAGGGTTTAGGGTTTAGGGTTTAGGGTTTAGGGTTCAGGGTTTAGGGTTTAGGTCGGAATGCACGAGAGTATGGGGGGGGGGGGGGGGGCGGCTTACAATAACGGACCCCTAATTATGGACCCCAAATAGTAGGGTTCCCTTCTGATATGACACCCTTGCGGCCCCGAACTGCAAAGTGCCAGTTTTGAAGAAGTGACCCTAAAACGTAAACCCCAAACCCAACCCTAAACCCTAAACCCGAAACCCGAAACCCCCTAAACCCTAAACCCTAAACCCATCATCCTGTAGGGTCTGAGGAGGTTGAGGGCCTTTAATTTCGGCTCGAGGCCGAAGTGAAACTGAAGTTTCATCAACGGGGGTTGCTCAGCTTCCACTCAACTCGGTACCATGGCTAGGGGTTAGGGTTTTAGGGTTAGGGTTTAGGGTTTAGGGTTTAGGGTTTAGGGTTTTAGGGTCGGGTTCGGGTTTCGGGTTTCGGGGGTTCTGGGTCTGGCTCCCCGCATCTCCCGGCAACATCGTGTTTCTGGGTCCACTTTTTCCGCTTTGAGCTACAGGGCTTCGTGTTTGGGACTAAACCCTAACCCTTTGCAACAGGCTTGCCACTTCGCCCGGAGTTGGTGCCACTCGAAACCTAACCCTACCCTAACCCTAAAACCCTAAACCCTAAACCCTAAACCCCAAACCCATTTAGGACTGTTAGGCTCTGTCTGCGGCCGTCCAGCAATGGCTGTGCCGTCGTTCAGGAGGGACTCGCCGCTGATGAGCATCGTCAGTCGTGGCGACCTTGTGGGGGTTGCTCTAGATTAGGGTTTAGGGTTTAGGGTCCCTTTGGTACCCTCATTGGGGGGGAATCCCATGTAGGGGTTTAGCGTTGAGGGTTTAGGGTTAAGGCGAATAAGGGGGGGGGGGGGGGATCTACTATGATGGACAACCCTTTTTAGTTTGAGGGTTCAGTTTCCCAAGCATGCCTGCATCCACCCCTTGGTGGCTTGCCCGAATTTTTGAAGCCGAACGTTTTCCAAGCCCGAAGACCTTGCAAAAGCAAAGGCCAAGACAGCACAATTCACGACCCCAAGCCCCCTAAACCCTTGAAACCCGAAAGCCCTAAACCCGAAACCCCCAAAGGCTGAAAAAGCTGAAGCCTAGAGCCCTAAACCCTAAACCAAAGGCTTAAATACTGAAATACTGGAGCCTAGAGCCCTAAACTGCTCAAGGACAACAGCAGATCATCGCCCCGGGACACACCCAAGGAGTTGAAGATGGAGACCACGGCCACCGGATCTGTGGCGGAAGTGATCGCGCCTCACACTTCAGGAATCCAGTCTTGTGGGGTTTAGGGTTTAGGGCTTAGGGCTTAGGGTTTGGGGTTCACATTCTGGCTTCCAAGGGCTTGAGACAATGCATTCTAGGAACGATAGGGGTTTCGACTCTCACAACTGGTGCAAGCGCAGGCAAGGATCCGGGACTTACTTCTCCAATAACCAAGGGGTACAAAGGTTAAACTTTTATTTTTCTACAAAAAGAGGAAACCCCAAGGGGAAAAAAGGTTAAACTTATTTTCCTACAAAAAGAGGAAACCCAAAAAGTTTCAAGTTCAACTATTGGCAAAGTGGGCGGTTCGCGTGTCCAAGAGCACAGCGCTTCGGCTGTAGCGGCAGATTGAAACCGAGGCCCGATCCCCAGCTTAGCAGGCTTAAGAACAAGAGGGTTTAGGGTTTTTTTTTGCCACCTGCCTAGCTCTCGCACTGTACATAGTAATTGATCCGCAGGGTTCCGGCTCAGAGGGCAAACAAGACTCTATGAGTAGCCCGCACTGCTGTACGGACTGGACAGGACTCCGCCTGTCCCCAATCACTCATCGCGCTTCCCAACCATAGCCTCCCTGCCAACGCAGCTCGCCACCCTTTTCCGCTTCCCGAGCAAATCGTTCTACGTCAGTTTCCGATTCCAACTCTTGAGGCGGAGAGGAAAGTCAAAAAGGCCCCATTTACAGCACACGCGCCAGCCTTTGCACTGGCTTCAGGACTGAGAGTCGCTCCGGACTGGGGCCTGACGCAATCTGGAGGGCCGAGGTCACAAGCGCACAAGCCGCGTTGTCAACTTGCGACGATGAAACGAGATATCAGAGCTGTGCAGAGCAGCCTTGAACAAGTCCATGTGCATAAACCGCAAGCTGCAACAAACAAACCATCCGGACACAGCTGCAATGCGACCTTTGAGCTTTAATGTCATGAGGCCTTCAGGGATGACAAAATGTCATTTGAAGGCACCCTCTGAAGATCTGAAGCTGAGCGCGTGTCCACGCACCGAACTTGAAATGTTTGCCCGCAGGCCAGAGATCAACAGCAGTACGAGCCGTGAGCCGCTGTAGGAACTCGACACCACAACGTCGAGCCGTCATGCAATGCTCGCTTGAAGGCTCTAACTGCTCGCTTGAAGGCTCTGACAGCTTAACAGCAAAACTAACAATGCTTAACACGATTGCTGACGCCCTTGTGGTGGCCAGTATTGTCAGAGGGGCAGCTGTCAGGACTCCTTGCTCCCCAGGGCTTTGGCCAGCACACATCTGCAAAAGCGCCTACACAGCGCGGCCTGGTAGTCGTCTTGAGGCACCAGTGGCTGCTCCTCCGCCTCCTCGTCGCTCAGTTCCTCAGCCAGCATTTCGACATCGCGGGACGCCCGTCATCGACGCCACGAGTCGGTCAACCTCGGCTTCCCTTCTCGGACTCAGCGATGGCAACGGTGTCGAGTAGAGCTCCTCCTCGATCTCATGCCACGACCGTTGCGACACGCGGTTATGAGCAGGAAGGTGCCCCAAGCCGACTTCAATGGTCTTGGACTCAGCTGCCGTTGCCGCGGCTGGGCTACGAAGCATTGTTGACGTCGTTGACGTATGCTGCAACGCTGATGCTGGGTCCGAAGCATCACCCACTGGGACTCCCAAAATTGTTGTGATGGGGTTGGCAAGGCGGCCAGGGCATGCATCTGTGTTCGTCATCTGCAACGCTAATCGCAAGGCAGGAAGAACGTGAGCCGAGCCAAGATGCGCTTGAGCCAAAATGGCTACGGTTAGGGTTTAGGGTTTAGGGTTTAGGGGGTTAGGAGCCGAGGGTTTCCAGAACAAATGTCCGAGATGCATCCCGAGCCTGGCTTGCAAACCCCGACCCCCGGAAGACTCGAACACTCTGCATAAATCCGAACCCTCTAAGCCCTAAGTGGTGCTTGACATCAACACTCAGGGGAACTCATACCCTAAACCCTAAACCCTAAACCCTGAACCCTAAACCCTAAATCCTAAACCCTAAACCTAAACCCTAAGCCAGAATCAATAGGTGCCGGCCAGAGCACCAAAAGCCATGGCCAAAGGCCAGGACCATTCCTGCAGAAAGGACGGGGGCTTAGGGTTTAGGGTTTAGAGTTTAGGGCTTAGGGTTTAGGGTGGCTTGTCAGAGGGTGTTCTTGGCCTTGAAAACCCGAATAATACAGGGCCTTAACAATTAGAATATAGGGTTTTGGGGGGTTCTTAAGAGTATGGTTCCCTTTAAAACCCTAGACGCCCTAAGCCCGCATTTGGCAGCCAGAGATGCTCTTGGAAGGGTGACCGCGCCAGCAGCCCTCCAGTTCTCCCAAAGCAGAAACTCGCTTGCGACCAAGAGGCATAGGGGAGGATGTACTTCGCCGCCACGCCGGCCAACAGGGCGCCCACAATGACCTCAAGGAAGGCGCTTCGTGAAGGTTCGCCCGTCTTGGTAGAAGTAAACTAGCCTGGAGCATCTATAACCGTGACGATAAGGCTCCTTCCTAAACCCTAAACCCTCATCCCTCAACCCTGAACCCTATGGCCCCAGGATAAGAAAGTACCCCCTGAACTGCTCAGGGGCAACTTGGAACATGCAGACCCTCCTACTTGTTCAGCTTGCTAAAAGCAACTCAGGGTTCACCTGTGCCCCCTACTCTGGAGTAAACCCTGAAAAACAACTATATATTTTTTTAGGTATAAGTAGCTATAATAGGAACCCAGAACCAAAAATATATATATATATATATATATATTCAAGTATAGTACTCCAAAGCCCAGTGCCAGAACATTTCAAAGGGACCACGCGAACCCCGAAAAACCTCAGGGCGACTCGGCCAGCAAAGCCCTGCGAAGAAGAGAGTCGCAAGGGCGCTGTTCGGGAGGGCCACGTGTCCCCTCTACCCTCAGAAACTCGAAGCTCAGAACCCTCAGGCCCTACACCCTAAACATCCCTAAACCCTAAACCCTGAACCCTAAACCCTAAACCCTAAACCCTAAACCCTAACCCTAAACCCTAAACCCTGACATGAGGAAAGGTTGGGCTCTTCGAGGTGAGCTTTTTTCTGTAGGATTCCTGGGCTTCGTTGCAGCATCTACTTCGCCTTCATACCTAAAAAGGAACAAAGCCTCGCAGAAGGCGCTGAATGCTTTAACCCTGAATGCTTTAAGTCTTGACCCTAATGCCCTGGACCATCAGTTTCTGGGGCTTCTACGCCAGGGACCGCCATAATGAAGCACTGCCAGAAGCATCGCTGGACCATGCCTTAGACCAGTTGAACCGAAGCTGAGGATTTGGTATCGGAAGGACGTTTTCGGGGCTCAGCAGAAAACAGCTCTCTACTTGATGGTCCCTCGCTGGGGTTTATGATTATCATGGAGCCTTCTTATTTAACACCTCGCCCCCAAAAAAAACAATGATAACAAAAGCTTTAAAAACAATGAGAACAAAACGTGGAGAACAAACCCATCGGCTTGCTGTTACAGGGTCAGGCAAATCCACTGAGCCCAGGCTCGGGCGGAGTCCAGGTTTAGGGTTTAGGGTTTAGATTTTAGGGTTTAGGGTTTAGGGGGAGCTCAAGGTTTACCTTTGGCATTGCAAGGAGATTGTTGTGACTTAGGGGGCTTGGAGACCATTGCGATTTCTCTTGGGATCTGCGATGCCAGCATCGGAGCTTCACTGCACTAACCTCTTTCCGTGTCCCGAGGCTGCTGTGAAACCTTGAACCCCAAACTGGTTTGGGGTTTAGGGTTCAGGGTTTAGGGAGCAAATGACAAGCCCAGCATGAACTCAAACCCCCGGGCAACCTAAACCCATCGAACGAGTACCTCGGAGCCCCTTGAACTCAAGTGCAGCACATGGGCTCATGTTCAGGTTCATGGCCTCCGAGAAGATCAGAGGCGGCAAGAAAGCGAACCTGGCGCCGTGGAGACAAGGGATCTTGCAGGGGGGGCCCGAAGGCCTGAAGGGTGGCTAGTACAAGTAAGTAGTAACAAGGAGGGCCATACCATGGGTTTAGGGTTTAGGGTTTAGGAAGTCAAAGAATGAGGAAGCTCCCTATAGGCGAGTTACTCCTTCCTGAGCGTCAGCACGCACAGCGAGATCCCTACGTCCCTTGCATCACGATCCTGACACAAAACGGTACGGTGTACAGCTCAGCCTCGCCGGCAAGGGTAAGAATTAAACCCAGAGACTGCAGACCTACATGGTTTACCCAAAGGCTCCTATGTAGTACCTTTTTGGGGTAGTGGGAATATAACTAGCCCAAAAAGGAACTACATTGGAGCCTTTGGGTAGGGTTTATGGTTTAGGGCTTCGGGGCTGAAGACATTCTGGACTTCCTTCTCTTGACTCCGACACAGGGACTCCACAAATGAACTAATGAACTAGGCAATTGCATCCCGGGACAAGGTTGCCCATAGGGTTCAGAGTTTAGGTTTGTCAAGCAGGCAAGGATTTCTCGTGTTCCGCGTCAGGTTTAGGGTTTAGGGTAGTCCTGAACTCGGGCCATATGCTTGAAGGCGTAAGGATGCAAGGTTGCATGGGAAGGTCATCCTGACATCCCTACTCGGCCGGCGCACATGAAGAGGTGAGGGTCAATGTCGTGCCACAAGTCCAAGGAGTCCTTCCCAAGAACAACATGTGTCAGCAATGATTTAAGCATGATCTTTTAATGTTTGTTTTGTGCATATATGTATACCTATATGTGGTATTGAAAGTATATAGTCTTGATACGAAGATCGTGTGCGTGTATGTATGTATGTATGCATGCATGTATGTAACTATGTATGTAACTATCGTCAAACTTCAGCTGACAAACGAGGCGACAATATACTTCTACGTAAGAACGCTCAGAAACAGGTCTTGTGCTTCAGAACGACTACAACCTCAACTCCCGCTCAGCTCATCATCCCGGAAAACCAGCGAAAAGCACCCTAAACATTCCGTTATACTAACAGTCCGTTCGAGGGATTGTAATAGGGGGCACTAAAATCCCTATTAAGGACTGTTTGTATAAGGGTGAACATCCCAACCCTAATCCCTAAACTCTATAAACTCTAGAAGACAAAGGCCCAACATCTCAAGTCGACAAGGCATTTCAGCAAGTCCTGCCTCCTAAGGTCCTGCAAGCCGGCGGCCTTTGTTCAAATATCCTTTACAGAAATAAGGACAATCAAAAATGAAAATACGACTCTTAATAATACGAACAGAAACAGTACTAATAATAATAATACTTATGATAGTATAGTGCATTGTTTTATTGTCAAACTACTCGTCCTGTGTATTTAAAGACCTTGCACGCTGAATCCCAAGGTCTCCTCGAAAGTGCGAGGCAGCCACGGGCTGCCTAAGGTTTACAGGGTTTAGGGTTTAGGTTTCCAGGGTTTAGGGTTTAGGGTCAAGGGCTCACTGTCAGTGTTCGTGGAGGTTCTGGGAAGGTTTGAGGTAGGTTGGTTGGTTGGAAGACACGATCGTGTCAGCCACGGGCCAGGGTAACAGAGAGAGAGGGAGGGCAGGGATTGAGGTGGTACTAGTGGCAGGAAATCTACCCGAGTTTAAGCCCAAATTCAGCATCTAAGTTTGATTGTGTTTATTAGATGGCTCATGGTATGTGAGGCCTGTGGCTTTCTTGCGCTCGGCATCTGGGTCTTAGTCATACGGGTAGGGTTCCTGGATTTCCTGTCTTCCGCACGATCTGAGGCAATCGCAACCCACTTTCTATCATGCCATCAGGCGTTCAGCATACTCTTCACAAAGATCAGGGGCCACAAGCCGTGAGAACTCAAGATTGAGCTTTGGGAGCTCGACAGTGTTGGGGATTGGGGGTGTCTACACTTTGTGTTGGCTTAAACTTCGGGTCGAGGGTGCCCCAGCCTCGATATCCCAGATTCAGGCAAGTCGCCGCGGATCAAAGCCATCAAAACCCCCTCGGCAAAGATGGCACCTTTGCAAAGACCAGATGTGCAAAGAGCTTCTGGAACTAGTCGGACCAATTTCTGATGACACAGAACTACAGAAGATGAACTCGGGTTGCTGCTGTGTACAAGGGGCTCCGTAGCCGGCTTGGTCTATGGCTTGGCCCTTTGCAAACCCTACTCCTCAACTGCCGCACGACAACCTAAGCACCGTACTCACTGTACGCCCTTAACACGCTTGAACCATTTTTGCTGAGCCCGAACCCCGGATCCGAAAACCCTAAACCCTGAACCCTAAACCGTCCTTTTCACATGAACCTACTCCAAGCGGACGCCATCCTTTAACAGCGACCTCTTCGAGCCAAGTTGCAGGTGTAAGGAAAAGATCCACCTCCGACAGGGAGAGGATCACGCACCCATGTCTCTGAAACCATGCTTGTTCTCACTATATAAATGTTGTAAAACCCCCCAACTAAAACCCCAGCTCAAGCCAGGGTTATCCCAACCCGAAGACGCTAGCAGTGGAAGGAAGCTCGGAAACGGCAACGCCAAGTAGCTTCAGCGCCACCCGTTTGGTGCAAGACTCAACGCGAGCTGTCAACCAAGCCATGCGTTGTCGGAATCAACATCTAGGCGCGCCTGTTCAGATCTGATCTTCCATGATCGAGAAGCGGCGTGAGAATGCCGAAGGGAAACCAAACCACCAAAGTCTGAAACTCGTGAGCTCTTTACACCAACGATGCCTTGATTGAGCCTCAGCTCCACTCTATGAAGCTTTGCTCGGGCGCCTTTCCGCTCGAGCAGACCATTGGTGAAGAGTCCCAGCATGACCTATGCAGTAACAGGTGGCTGCAGGGGTGGGCCTGGTTTAGGGTTTAAGGTTTAGGGTTGAGGGTTTAGGGTTGAGGGTTTTTGGCATGCTTTCGGGTAATAGGGCCAAGGCGAACAGCCAGTAGGGGTTTAGGGGGCTTCCGGTCATGTCGTGGATGTGGGTGCCGATACAAAGGAGCTCTCCAGCGCAGCCCTGTAACAAAATACCCCGAAAGAATCCCGAAAACTCCGAGAATAAGGGCACCCTTTTTGGGGATGCCTTTAAGGAGCTTCTGTTCTACTTGGGGATATAAACGGGGTACCCCTACTTTGGGAAATGCCCATATCACATCTCCACTCCCCCAGCAGACCCCCGTCTCCCCCCTTCGCCCCCCCTAAACCCTAAACCCTAAACCCTAAACCCTAAACCCTAAACCCTACACCCTAAACCCTAAACCCTAAACCCTAAACCCTAAACCCCGGCCGTGATGAAGAGGAAGAGGATGGCTTTGTGCCCGTGGGTGGCGTGGTGCCCGGTCGAACGCGTGTCAGTCATCCTCAAGGCTGCCCTTTAGGGGTTTAGGGGTTTAGGGGTTTAGGGGTTTAGGGTTTAGGGTTTAGGGTTTAGGGTTTAGGGTTTAGGGTTTAGGGTTTAGGGCTTAGGCCTACAATCACCCCTGGGGGGGTTCGTGGGCGAAGATTTGTTGGGGAAGCAGATGTTTATAGGTTTTTTATCTGGACCCTCTCCCCCAGCCCCACCCAAAAGCTATCTAATAAGGTGACCCAATGAGTGTACGTCACCGCGGTTATTCAGGGTATCTTCAAGGGCACTCCGTGCGGACTTGTGCGCAGCAACGGTGTCCGATGTGCTGAGCATGAGCAAAGTCATGACCAAGTCTGGAATACAGGTGGTCACGCCCTGGAACACGTTAGGTCCCTGTGTCCTACGCCTTACGCGCTCCACATAACCCTACTAAGGGCTTCCGCAGCTCGGGCCCTTGATTGAACCCCCTAAACCCCAAACCCCAAACCCCAAACCCTAAACCCTAAATCCTAAACCCTAAACCCTTGATTTCACCCACACCAAGTCTCGGGTTCTCTGGCTGGTCCGGGTGGAACCAGTTGCTCCTGTGGTTGAGCTCTGCGAGCTCCTGCAAAGGATACATGAAACCTCAGATGGGGTTTAGGGTTTAGGGCTCTTTTTTTGGCACCGGCATTTAATTGTTTAGGGCTTAGGGCTTAGGGTTTCGGGTGCTTTCTGGTCCTAGTCAGAAAAGCGGCCCCCCGGAACTCAGAATTTGACACTAGAAGTCCCGGAATCTTAGAGCAGAAACAGAGAGGCTTCTGCTTGGAACAGAGGCCCTTGCAGGCCCACAGAACCCAAGACCCCCTTCATTCAGGAATATCTACCCTCAAACCTTAAGGCTCCCTATATATTTTCGGAATATACACCGTCTGTTCCTTTATTAAGGGGCCATTGGGCTCTTTGGGGGGACTCTTTCAACCTTTAAGAGGACTTACAGGGTCTAGCACCCAGTACGGCAGGTCTAAGCTCAAAGGATCCACAAGAGATTTTTCTTGGGGTTTCGGGTTTAGGGTTTAGGGCTTAGGGTTTAGGGCTTAGGGTTTAGGGCTTAGGGATGTCCTTGACCACTGTCTTCAGCTTCTCCGGTTCCGTAGCATCCTGCGACAGATCAGTTCCCTGAAGCCCTGAAAGCAGGTTCAGGGGTCGGGGCTTAGAGTGAACCCTACACTCATTTGCCCCAAAACGCGCAAGGGATCCGGTTTTCCCAAAACTGCAGGACCCGTTGTTACACTCAGCCCCTCTTGAAAGCACACAAAGCTGCCCCATACACAATGGCACACTAGCCAGTATACTCCAGGGTCAGTTATGGTATGTTCAATGATATGCTAGCAATTCACAATCGTCAGGTTGCGACTCCCACACGGCTGGAATGTCCTAACAAAACCTCACTGAGACGCCAGCCCAATAAGGTGTATAGGGGGGTTTAGTCCCGGCCCCCAAACCCTAAACCCTGAAATTTCAATAGGAGGTTCTGGCAGTGCAGCGCCTGGGATCTCCCCACGAAGGACCTCGAAGCAACTGATAAAACCCCAAGCCGAGTCCTGCGTCTGATCCAGAAACCTTTATGTATGTCCCTAAACCCTGAACCCTTCTTGCATCCGAACTCCTGCAAATGTTGCTAAACCCTAAACCCTCGAGTGATATTCATATCAGTAGGAACATTCCTACTGCTATCGTTACCTCTTTTCTTCACATGACTGCCTCCAACTCCCCCCCCTCCGCCCGGCCGTGGCAGTTTCATTCTGGCTCTTCAGGAGCTTGTTCCACTTTCCCGGCACCGAGATGTTCGGGTTGACCATGGAATCCTTGAGGCTTTGGCTTTAGCCCAGGGCCCCCCCTCTACTTAGGCATTAGAGCTGGGGTATATAAGCCCTGTTCTTAGCCTCTGCCTCTACTGACTCCTAAACCCTAAACCCTAAACCCTAAGCGCTAAACCCTGAACCCTAAACCCTGCTGAGTTTCGGCTTTGAAAACTATTGCATCGTCTCGTCGCTTGGGGGGCTCTATCGCAGAAGATGGCCTGGTCTCTTCGTGCATGCGTCTGTGCCCAAGGCTCATGCGTCCTAACCCTAAACCCTAAACCCTAAACCCTATAACCCAGTCGACCCTTGGGTGGCCACATGGGAACTTTCCCCGTGACATGCCACGTGGGATTGCTATAAAAGGAAACTGTGGAGCTGGTACCTACGATTTGCTCAAGAATCCGGACAAAGATGAAGAATATTCCTCCTTACAAGGGCAATATAAGTATGATTACTCTTCTTTGGGGGTGGTTCTGAAACAAATAGTAGGTACTTGTCTGTCTTTACAAAGCAATGGGCGTGTCACTCAGAAAACTGATGGACACGCACCCCCGACCCTGACTGCGTAGTATATTGACCGCGCAGTAGTACAGACACAATATACAATATGTCCGTGCTGCAATTGTTTTGCTTTTTTGGGCGGAGGAGGACCCAACCGTTATCCATACCTGAACACCAACAGCTTGCGTATAGACCAACCACGCCTGAAACCCACGCACGGTGTCGCACAACTGCGCACGCTTGCAGCATATTCCACGAAAGAGTGCAATGAAATACCCAGCAATTCGCTTACGCAGTCTGAGGGGATTGCTGAGTTCTGCAACTCCTCCTCCTCCCCACACCCCCCCCCCCCTTGCACCCCACAGCGCGCTGTCAAGCTGAAGGGGCTGCCAGCTTCATGACGAAGATGGAGATCTCCTCCTCAAGCTTCGTGGCGCGAATCGACAGCTGTCGAGCTTGCTCCTGCTGCTCCGCGGCTTGGGGATTGACGGAAATATAGATAGATAGATATATATATATATGTATATTTATATGTATGTATATATATATATATGTATATATGTATGTGTATATGTATATATATATATATATACATATATATTCTTGGGGCTTAGGACTCAAGGCTTCGGGGAGCCGACGACCACTTGGGGCCAAGGCTTTAGTGAGGTCGTACAAGCTTGGGGTGCCGTTTCTTGGAAAAGAGCTGCAGTCCTCCGCATCCCTGGTGGTAGTTGGGTGCGAGTTGCCTCGCCATGCAGCCCGCGGACAAGTAGTAGCAGCATAGCTGGGCAACTGTGCTGAATAGAGTTGCATGAGGCCTACTATACAAGGATTTTACATAGGCCGGAGAATTAAACTTGTTTTTTTTTCGACTTTTTTAGTTTTTTGTTTCTACTACTACTATTTAGGGTTTAGGGTTTAGGGTTGAGGGTTGAGGGTTTAGGGTTTATGGTTGAGGGTTGAGGGTTTAGGGTTGAGGGTTTAGGGTTTAGGGTCTAGGGTCTAGGGTTTTTAGGGTTTTTGGGGTTTAGAGGGTTTAGAGGGTTTAGAGGGTTTAGAGGGTTTAGAGGGTTTAGGGTTGAGGGTTGAGGGTTGAGGGTTGAGGGTTTAGGGTTTAGGGTTTAGAGGACAAAAAACAAAAAAAACAAAAAACTACAAAAACAATCTGAAAAACATCTGAAAAAATAGACCTCCCTTGACATATTCTTTCCTGCAATGAAATGGTTTAAAGAGATGGGGGGGGTAGCGATCGCGAAGCGGCACTTGACGTTCACTGCTGCGTGCTCGCACACGGTTCGTAAGCACCCGCCAGCGTCCGCTTGTCGTGGAGTGCCATCTGCAAGGACCAGCTCACTCCTCGTCGTTCTGATGACAAAACCTGAGGCCTACTGGACGAAGCTCCAGGCCTCAAATGCTCGAGTCTTTCTCAAGGAAACTTCGAGGGGTAATCTCCTGCAGCTTCTGCTTCGCTTAGCACTGAGGTCGTCGATCTTCGGCTTCGCCTCTTCTCTTTTTCTCCCTCTTCTCGGGGTGGTTCACAGGCAGTTCTCCACTGCCACATTTCTTTCCCCCATTCCTTCCAAAGATTCGATCCTAGGTCTCTGCCTGGGGCTGGTCTCTGCCTCTCAGTACGAGATTCATCCCCTTTCTCAGGCTTTGGGGTGCACCGCCACTGCCGGGGTTCTGAATGCTACAGTGCTGCTCTTCTGGCTTCGTTTTGCTTTCGCTGCTCGTTAGACGTGTTCCACCTTCTGTTCCTCATTGCTGGCTCATCGTTTCTCACGGGTGCAACGGCCAGATTTTCGTGCACTCTGCCACCTTGCCCGCCTGTGTATGTGCTAGTCGGCTACGTGCAGGTTTCGGATCCAGAGAAATAAATACAAAACATGTATGGGCAGTTGCCATGGGAACTGAATTCGCACCGTGAGCTTCGGACCCCGAAAAACCGACCCAAAGACCGAAGCCCAAAGCCCCTGAAACGCTGCCGACCCCAAACAGCCTGGACAAACCCTATATTTTCGGGATCGGAGGCACTACAAAATCTGTATCCTCAAGTTCCGGAGAAGTGACAGCTGCCGAAGCGGATACGAAAAGGCCGACCTCATATGATGGGTAGCAAAGAAGGGTCTCTGAATTCCCTGACCCTCATGGCCTTGCTTGGTAATCTCTTGCAAGGCGGTGGTGATGGCGCTTCGAATGCTGTGGCACGCGCACAACCTGGCGCTTGCGTTGACAAGCACTTCTTGCTAGCTCGCAAACTTGGCCCTAAACCCTAAACCCTAAACCCTAAACCCTAAACCCTAAACCCCTAAACCCTTTCCCCCCCTCAGACTTACAAGGCCCACCTGGACATCGACGGCCTTGGCACGCCTCATGGATGCAACAGTCAAGTTTGCAGGTGATGTAAGCTTCGAGTGGGGACTCGTGTCCGCTGCAAGGGGAACTCTTGCGCGAAGATATGTATAAATAAATAATATACATTTTTATCTCTCTTTACATATATATATATATATACATATCAATCAAAACAAACCTGGGCAACATGGTCCAGCCAGCATCGGAAGAAGGGGGTGCCGGCACCTCTGGCCATTTCTATCTCTCTTTTCAGAAACACCCGTGACTGCATTTGCAAGCAGGGTGCTCCTTTCCCTACAAACCTCTGCACCGATACCCAGATACCTGTGCCCTGTGAACTGAAGCTTTGCAGGTCTCTTTCATCGAAGAAACCTAGCGATGATATGCGACTTCTGAGCTGCCGACCATCGCAAGTGTTGTTACCAACGTCTCCGTAGAAGCCTGGGCTTCATGAGACATCCACTTATGACTCCTTCTTCTGCGAACCGTGACATGGTCAAAGGAATGCGGTGATGAAAAGGTCTTGGTTGAAGGCGTCCTACATTCGGAACCGCCCAGACAACGGCCACTTGACCTGACAACACCCTCTCCGTCCCCCCACCCCTGCCCCCCACACCTCCCCTCCATCCCTCGCCCAGCATTTTATGAGCCCATTCCGTAGGCGTGCCTTCGCCCACGAAAGGATGTGGACTTGGGGTATAGTTTCGGGACCGGGATGGAAGGCCACGTTGATGCAGGGCAGGCTGTGCGACGCCGCCAGGTACAGGGACCCTCCCCCCTCCCTTCCCCCGCCAAAGAAAGGCCTCTGGCTGAGAAAGTCAAGCCACAGGTGGCCTTGCAGTGTTCCGGCTGCCCGGCGCAGCCGCACTCCTCCGAACTTGGGAGAGGGAGCATGATACAGTACTTCACACATGACTACAGTGCCAAATGTGGATTGAAGTAAGTATGCTTTCCCATATTAAGAAGTTGAGCTTGTGCTCTTTTTGGATGACTTTGGGATGGGCTGTGGACCTGCAAGGGACATGGGCCAACGAATGAGTGGGAGGGCACGCATGGTGAGAGCGACATTCAGGCGTCATCAGCACTCGTGGCCATTTTGGGCCGGGGGCCGTGAAATGCCCTCAAGCCATACATTTCATGCACGGGGCGTACTCGTGCCACGAAGCACCAAATCAGACCCAGAGGCAACGACACGGCATCCGAGCTTCTGCATTAATGAAGTTGTTCTGGCCAAAGCTTAGTAATCGAAACCGAAGAAAGTAGCCTACTGAACCCAACCGACTCAACTCAAACTCCTTCCAGCCAAAGTCCACCCTATGTCCGGGTATTGTCCAAATGCCGTTAGTCCATTCGACCACCCTCCCCCCCCCCCCACCCACTTCTCTCAACAAGAAGAGCACCCTGAACCCTAAACGCTAAACCCCAAAACGCAGAGGAAGCCGTCTCTTGGCCTTCTGCGTGCAGATCTGCGGGTGGTTCTCGTAAGCCACGCCTTCTGGCGCGGACCGAAGGCAAACTTACCTAGAACTATTAACTGTCTATGGGTGCAGGGTTGTATGATTTAGGGTATAAGAGGGAGGGTTGTATGGGGTTGCGCAAGGCCTCTAGAAAGTCAAAAAGATTCCGATTCAACTTCTGCCCCTGCCTGACTTGTTGAGGGTGTTGTTCGCGTCTGGCGCTCCCGTGACATTTCCGGTCGTCGCCTGCAGCAGCTTCGGCCGGTGTTGCCAGGGTTTATAGAATTCGCACCTGTGTGGGTTGCCGAGAAGCCGTGGCCAACCCCTCTCCGCCTCCTGGCACCCTACACCCTAAGCCGCATAAACCTCAAAACGCCCTAAAGGCCCTAAATAAGCCCTACAAACCCCGAAGCCTAAGAAAACCATACAGAAACCCCGAAACAGGGGGACCTCCCCACGAGGGAGAGTATGGGAGCCCCCTCCCACCAGCCTGGGGCGCGAGGCTGGAAGCGGGTTCCACGGCTTCACCTTTGCAAAGGGCAGGGCCTTTCTTCTTCAAGAAATTAAGAGAAGAACTATTCGTTCATCATAGAAATGAATGATGTCCATCTATTTTTTTGCAGTATGCAGAGCTACGTGTGTGTGTGTGTACGTAGATGGCAGAGTTTACGACTGTCGGGTTTGGGCCCCGATGCAAGAGCTCGCCTCTAATCCAAAATTGGGAATTCATAGGCACCTCGCGTCCGCAGGCCCGAGTTACTTGAGCAAATCGCAGGCTGAGCGGCAAGTGAAGTTGGCGCGCAGCGCTGCTGCCTTCACCAGCGCGCTGCTGTCCACCTCTTGGATGACTTCCTCACCTCCCAGCATGGGCTATTAGGCCTTATAATCCCCTAACCAACCCTGTAAAGAAAAGGGCCTTTTTCAGGGGTGATAGGGTATAATAGCCCATGTAGGTCAGCTCGAAAAGGGCATGGTGTGAGGTTGCTTTCGGACTCCAGATCGCTCTGTGTGGGGAGCCTTCGCGCCCGGAAAGACCAAGAGTTCAGGGGCCCGTATAACATGGGAGGTTCAGGCGGTGAATCAAGGTGCTTACGGCACTTGCTGCAAGCATGACCTGGCAAAAGGCCCCAAGGGCTTCCGAGCAGGGATGCGGCCGCGGGGCTGCAGAGCAGACCCATGTCCCAGCAGGCATCCGAACACGACTGTTGCTCCTGCATGTCATGGCTCCTAGCAGCTGCGAGCGGCCCTAGCATCAGCAATCCAGATTCTGCCCGGCCTGACCCAAAGAAACCCAAAACAAAGTGCTCCTCCACCTAGGCTCCCAATTACTCTGATTCCCCCTGGAAGAACGCGAAGTAAACGGCCAGAGGCAGCTACAAGACATTGCACGACTTGCTTTGGCAGTCAAGACCTGGAACTACTCAGGGAGAGGAGCGCCCATACATCCCACCAAGCACCCTCCCGACCCTTGTTCAAGCAAGCGGCAATCGGTGCCTCAAAAGCCAGCCTACAGGCCCTCCTTGTGGACCCAACTCATGCCCCGAAAGGATAAATGGGTCCATAGACCCTGATCCGGACTCATAGCAAGGTACGGTGAGCCCCAGTTGAGGCTTCATTGCATCCCGCAGGCCGAAGCCACGCATTCCCCTGTCCTTTCCCATGACCCACATCTCCACATCTCGGATGTCTTGCTCGGTAAGGCCCTCCAGCGCCTGCACGTCCACTCGTGTGGAGTTTTTTCAAAAGCTCGGCACAGTGAGAGAAAGACAGAGAGAGAGAGAGAGAGAGAACGAAAGAAAGGCGGAGACACAGAAGAGAGAATGGGGGAGAGGCGCTGATAGGCGCAGAAATTGGCTCTCGGCGGAAAGGCGCACCTGCCTGCAGTTGGCTTAACGAAGCACCGTTCAGCCGCGCGATGTCCGGGGTCTGGCATTGGAAAATGAGTAATTTGAGTAGACTTGGCTACATGCTTGCAAACCCTATGTCCAAGAGATATCCTTTCATCATCTACCTACTGATAACCTGTCGATCTACAAAAATAGGTATTTACACACACACACATCTACATATATGCAAATTAGTGTTAGCGTTAGTGGTAGTGGCTGCTTTCAGTTCCAGTTATAGTGGTAGTGGCAGGGTTAATGTGCGTGTGAGTGTGAGTGTGATTGTGCGTGTGAGTGTGAGCGTGTGAGAGTGTGAGAGTGCGAGAGTGTGTGCGTGAGAGAGAGAGAGAGTGTTTGTGTGTGTGTGTGCTAGTGTGTGTGTGAGAGTGTGAGAGTGCGAGAGTGTGTGCGTGAGAGAGAGAGAGAGAGTGTTTGTGTGTGTGTGTGTGTGCTAGTGTGTGTGTGAGAGTGTGTTAGTGTGTTAGTGTGTTAGTGTGTTAGTGTGTTAGTGTGTTAGTGTGTGCGTGTGTGCGTGTGTGCGTGTGTGCGTGTGTGCGTGTGTGCGTGTGTGCGTGGGTGTGTGTGTGTGTGTGTGTGTGTGTGTGTGCGTGTGTGTATGTGTGCTACTGTTATCATTGGTGTCTGTGTGTCTGTGTGTTACTGTGATAGTGTGATCGTGTGCGAGTGTGTCAGTGTGTTAGTGTGTCCATGCGTGAGTGTGAGTGTGTTTGTGCGTTAGTGTGTTAGTGTGCTAGATTCCACTCATGTGCGATTCTAAGGTCACTCTTTGGATTCATGAACGAGGACTCAGCTTGGGAATAGGTCATGGTTTTTGTTTGCGCCTGGGATGCTAGGGCGGCCATTCTAAGCTCAAAATGCTGGTGTAGCCCTAAACCCGAGGTCGTTTGGGGTTGCCCTAAACCCTAAACCCTAAACCCTAAACCCTAACCCTAAACCCTAAACCCTGTCTCACAAAGACCTCAAATCCGAAGTTTGCTTTCTCACCCGAGCTGCGAGTTGTCGAAGAGCCATCATGGCCGCACTCTCCCCAGGCCTGCTGTGTGAATACAGCAAGCTGTGGGGCTGCTTCCGGGTTTAGGGTTTAGGGTTTAGGGTTGGGTTTCAAACGGCTTCAGGACTTCAAGGGGCACAGTTTTAGTATGCTAGGGGTTCTAGGGCTTCGAGGGATACTGCAATCCGAACGACTTCCACCACCTGGCAAAAGCGAAAGCAAGAAGCTGTGGAACCCTACTGCGGCAACTGATGCTAAGTGCTTACCGAGAGCCCAGCCCTTTCGCAAACTCGTAAAGCTTTGGGGACCAGAGAAGGGCGCGATGCTTCGCTAAACAAGAATATGCATATAGCAAAAACCTTTGCTGCAAAAGCATCCAGGTCGGTTGGAAACCTAACGCCACTTAGGGCTTTCTGAGCCCTAAACCGCAGTAAGAGGAGTGGCCTGAACGCCTCCGTGCGGCGGCCGTGCGTTAAGGTGGCAGCCAGAAGCAGCAGCCTCTCCCAGGCAGGAGCCCTCTAATTCCCTCAAAAAATCGAGAATTTAGGATACCCTTCGCGGGTGTAGAGGGTTTTGGGTTTAGTGTCTGGGGAGAATATACCTATATCGTTTTGCGTTAGTGCTTGTTTTGTCTTGGTAGGGTTCTATACAATCTTGGTGCTACTTGTGCGCTGACCGTATAAACGCTGTAAACCCTACTGCCTTGTTGCTGGGAGACCCCATTCGGCGTAATTGGCCTTGGGCTTTGGCAGTTGGCCTGGAGCGGGGATTTTGGTTGGTTGTCCTACTCTTCATGGATTCCCTCTTTATTCTGACACATAACCCTAAACCCTAAACCCTAAACCCCTAAATGTACTTCTTTTTGCGATTAGACCCCAAACAAAGCAGCTTGGAATGTCCCGGCAAAGTCAACTGCAAAGGCCCAATCACAATGCCCCACTTCGTTCGCCTCAGGGTTCAGAGTTTGCGGTTTAGGGTTTAGCGTTTAGGGTTTCGGGTTTAGGGATGTTGAACATCCAAACTCTACCGTCCCTCAGCAAGCCCCCTCTCTCTCGGCGCCTTGCCACTTGCACCATCATGAACTGAACAACGAATGCTCTGTGAGTTTTGCAAACACGTCAATGGGTAGGTCTGAGCCAACTTGTGGCTGCGGAGCAAAAAATAGGGCAAGGCTTCCACCTATGGAGATGGCCTGATCCACCAGGCTCGTCACAACAAAACCATGTTAAACCCATCCTACTCACAGCGGCGCAGCTACGGGGCTTGGAGTTTTCGGCTGCATTGTGGAGCCCACAATTTGCCCAGGTTTAAGCCTTGGGGGCTTGGTGTTCACACACAATCAGGATTGGGAGCCTTTAGCAAGAAGGTTCTAGTCCGCGCGAAATCCGATAGGGGGAGCTGTTAGCCAGAAAGTCATAATCCACACAGAATCAGGAGGGGGAGCCGTGAGCAAGATGGCGAAAACCCCGCAAAATCAAGAGGGCTATCTGGAGGGATGGTGATGAGGTGGATGAGGTGGTAGAGGCTTAGGCGGGCGTAGCTTCTTGAAGGAGTCACGGATTTCTGTACTCCCTACTTGTGTATCCAGGATCCCAGTCTTGGCTTGCGGGCTGCCACATCTTGTGAGTGTAGACTTCAACGGCTGAACGAACCCTTCGGCGCAATTTCTCAGCAGTTGTGGCAGGAGAAATCCAACTTTCAAGAAACAGCCACCCCTATACTCCCCCTGAACCTTAATAAACATGTTATGTTTAATATCCTCTTGGGTTTTAGCCCTGAAACCAAAAGGCCTGGAACTCCAAAGCCCTGAAACCCCAAAGGCTACATGAACCCTAAACCCTAAACCCAAATCCTGAATCCAGACTGGACTGCTCGTTGGAACCCGAAACCCCAAACCCGAAACCACAAAACGCCCGGGACCCCGAAAGGCATCTTTCATTTTTGGACCGCACGGGGCGGATGTGAAGCAACCTCCCTGCATGCTGCTGCGATGCAGGTTGGGCGCCTGATGGGTTGAAGTTTAGGGCTCAGCGGGCTCCAGGGGTTCAGGCTTGAGTTCTTGGATAGGGTTTCGGGTTTCACGCTCAGAGTTTTTGGTGCATCCGGATGGGGCCAACCTTTTCGGGGTTTGGGTGGGGACCGCGCCACTTCATGGGGAGGTGTTTAGGGTTTACGGGCTTAAACTGCTTGGAACATGAAAGTCTCTGACAGCGCCGATTGGGCAGAAATTGACTGCAAGATGGGACCAGTTCAACCGTGGCAATGTTATGCCAAGGTTGCCCGCAACGCCCAAGGGCCGTCCGGCGAGGAATCGCAGGTGTTCTTGCCAAAATGTAAATAAGCGAACGTCAGCGAGCAGAAACACCGGACTCAATTTATTTATGTTTTCAAGATCAAACCTCTAAATTTGCTCAAAATCATGTTTGTTTTCAACTTTCAAATTTCTGGGAAGCTTGAAGAAACAACGTTAAAATGTCCAGTCTGCGCAAATAAGAAATTTGCGAATTGTTCGTGAATCTACAATCTGGTTTCGGAGCAAGCTAGATCTCTAGCTTGTGCCAGGGGGGTATATATAGGGGGGTGTCGTGCCAGTCCTACCTTGAAAGCCATACGAAGCTCCCCGGCTAAGCCTTCAACCTGTCACGTACCAGAGTCCTCAAATGACGGAGCCTCAAACTCCCCCCCCCTCTCTAACGAAGGAGATGCCTTGTCTCCTTACTTGGATACCATGCTATACTAGAAACTCAGGTCGGAGATACCACAAGGACCCTCTACGCACCAAAGCAAAAGGACTTGGGAGTTTGGGGTTTAAACGGTTTACATGGCATTTAAGTAGCCAGCACCCACCCGCCACTCTCCAGGCATCACGCCCCCGCCGTCCTTCGCCAAAGTATGCCAAACTTCATCGAAGTCTCCTCCCCCATCACCCCTCCCCCCGACGCCTTTTTTTCTTCTGTGTACAGGGCTGTGCATGAGTGCGGCTCCTGCCATGCCCGAACGCCGCCAAGAATCGAGGACCGGTGACCCTGCACACATCTCTATGCATGAAGATCATGTACCCTCGTCTATCAGATCATGATCGGGGCCTGTATACTAGTGGCAGGAGGCTGAGTCTGCATGTGGCCGAAGCAGCTCCTGCACGCTGCTGCTGTCGCCACCACCGTCAGCCTGGCCCCAGGTGACCACAAACCCATCGCCCCTGATGGCGGCAAATGCGCCTCTGGCTGCTTGGATGCGTCGCACATTTGCCAGCTGCTTCTGCACCTTGCCGCTGTCACCACCACAATCAGCCTTGCCCCACGTGACCACGGACCCATCATCCAGGATGGCGGCAAATGCGCCCCTTGTTGCTTGGATACATTGCACGTTTTTCAGTTGCTCCTGCACCTCTGTGCTGTCGCCACCATAGCCAGGATTGCCCCACGTAACCACAGAGCCGTCGTCCAGGATTGCGGCAAATGCCAATAAATTGGCTTGGATCTGCTTTACGTTGTTCAGCTGCTTTTGAACGTTGCTGCTATCGCCACCAGCGGCAGCATCGCCCCACGTGACCACCGACCCATCAACCAGGATAGCGGCAAATGCGTCTCCACTAGCTTGGATCTGTCGCACATCTTTCAGCTGCTTTTGCACGTTGCTGCTGTCGCCACCATTGCCAATGTGGCCCCACGTAACCACAGAGCCGTCCTCCAGAATGGCAGCAAATGCTTCCTCGGTGGCTTGGATCTGTTGCACATTTTTCAGCTGTTCCCGCACCTTGCTGCTGTCGCCGCCACGGTGACGGCTGCCCCACGTGACCACAGACCCATCGCTCAGGATGGCGGCAAATGCCGCGTCACTAGCTTGGATGTGTCGTACACTTTTCAGTTGCTCCTGCACCCTGCTGCTGTCGCCACCATATTCAGGGTTGCCCCACGTAACCACAGAGCCATCGTCCAGGATTGCGGCAAATGCAAATAAAGAGGCTTGAACCTGCTTCACCTTCTTCAACTGCTTTTGAAAGATGCTGCTGTTGCCACCAGCGTCAGCGCTGCCCCAGGTGACCACACACCCATCACCCAGGATGGCGGCAAATGCCCTCAAGGAGGCTTGGATCTGTCGCACACCTTTCAGCTGCTTTTGCACCTTGCTGCTGTCGCCACCAGCGCCAGCGTAACCCCACGTGACCACCGACCCATCGACAAGGATGGCGGCAAATGCGTCTTTAGTAGCTTGGATCTGTCGCACATTTTTCAGCTGATCCTTCACCTTGCTGCTGTCGCCACCACCGTCAGCCTTGCCCCAGGTGAGCACAGAACCGTCGCCCAGGATTGCAGCAAAAGCAAGGTTGCCAAACCTGCAACAAGTGTTCCCCCAAATCTGAAGCTCGCTGATCTGCAAGATCAGGGCATCGCCCGAGACCAACCTTGCTTTTTTGAGCGAGGTGCCCCCATCTAAGACATCGCCGGATGAGTTCAAGAGCCGCCCTCTACGAACTCCGAGCGCCACATGCGCTTGCCGCTTCAAGCTTTCAACCGAAGCCTCGTCGTCTGCCTCCAAAGACACAGATCTGCCACTTATCAGGCTCACGTCCAGAACCAGCACCATGGCAGCTACGACAAGCTGATGCCCTAGAGACTGGCCCCCCTAAATGTTGGCAGTTCGGGGTGTGGGGCTGAGCACGGGACTCTGCTGCAGAAGCTCTGGGACTTGCAAGTGCAATCAGTAGCCGCCCTGTTGGAAAATATGCCTTCATTCTCAGCCTGCTTGTAAGCCCCAGAGGCTCCCCAAGCAAGGTGAAGACATGCCCACAATCCCCTACTCTCCATAAACAGTTTAGAGGGCTCAGCTGCTAGGTTTCCTTCCCTTCTACACAGATTCCTCCTGCTAGGGGCCCTGAAGCCTAAACCCTGATTAAACCTAATTTCCCTAAACCCCGAAACCCCCAAACTTCAAAACTCTGTTGCAACCAGGCCCCTGCAGATCGCCGGGCACTTGCCAAGCTCACCCCAAAACCCTCAACCCTATAAACCCTACACCCTTTGCTTGCAACTGGGCTTGGGGGCGAGCATCTCAAACCCTCAGCCCTAAAACCTCAACCCCCCAAACTGGCCCAAACTGGCCCAGGGGAAGGCTCGGGGCCCCGGCAGCGGCAGTGCGGTCAGCGGCATGGAAGCCATTTCGGGTTTGGTGGCTTTTCTACCTGTTTTGCTTCCAGGCGACAGGCAAGAGGTGGCTGCAACCCGGGCAAAACCCTACGAAACGAAGCCGCGCAATCATTGAACCACCAAGCCCCATGCTCCAAGCTCCAAAGCCCTCTAAGCATTCTCACCCTGAACGTCTCAATGTCCTCAATATATAGGGTTTTATGAAAACAGGGGACCCCTTATTGCGACCCAAGTACTTGGATTCCCTTACAATGAGTACCCCAATAAGGTACCCCAAATTTCGGAAACCCCCATATTCACCCTTAATAACTTAGCGTCTCACCTAAGACGCTTCGAGTCGAGAGAGTGCAGAACTCCCCCAAACTGCAGTGTAGGGACCAAAGTTGGGGTTTGGGATGTTCCCCCTTATACTTAACAGTCCTGAATAGGGATGAATATCGGGGGTACTCGAATCCCTCTTAAGGACTGTTTCTAGAAGGGGGAACATCCCAAGTTGTGGTTGAGTGCGTGTATGGCTGCGGCACTCGGGGACGCCAGCGGCTCGACTAACTACCGGCAGCAGCGATTCGACAAAGCACGGTGTGCTCCAAACCCTAGCGGTCCTGTAGGTCAAGGGTCCTGTAGTGCAGCTTCTACCCCTTGCAACTGCCCTAAGCTGAAACCCGGAACCCTATAAACCCGGAAAAGGAAACCTCGACCCTCTGGCACACTGACCGCGATGCCAAGCCTCCGAATGTCTGCTACAGGGAGCTACAAAAAAGCCATGGCATAGCGCCCCAAAAATTACTCTAAACTTGGGTGGAAAGAGGTGCCCTCAAATTGGCATCTCCGGGGGGGTTTAGAGTCTAGTGAGGTGCTTCTAACCTCAGTCTTAGCCTGCTTCCACAAACGCCTGATCCTACACAGTCTCGGGAAGGGAGTCAGGAATGCATTTCCTTGCGTCGCGCAACTCGGACTTCCGAGTGGTTGCAGCCAGCTGTAAATTCAGAGGCTCAGCGGCACTTGCCGATGTAGGCATAGTAGCACCCGCGATCCTGATTACATCCGGAGGTGTACGAGAATGTAAAGTACTGCGTCTTCCTTCCCACGGAGCAGCTGCAGCAGATGTAATTCCCGGTGGCGACCTCTTCTTCCATATTCTGGCTCCCTTCTCCGAGAGCTTCGGTCAACTCGCCATCCAAGTGTTCTCGAGCACCCTCCTGTTCTCAAAACCCTTAGGTTTGGGTTTTTAGGGGTCTGGGACTGGGAGCTTATGACTGTTGCGGCAATTCTACATCCCTTTATCAAGGTTCCTTCTTTAGGAACCGGGCTCTTGAGAGGAAGGTCAGGTACAGCTGCTCAAGGGCTGATTCTCACATCGGATTTCGGCGATATTGGGGCGGGGTTTTGAGGTGGAAAAACATATTACGGAGCCCAGGCCCTAGCTATGGCATGAAGCTATCATTATACAGTGATTCTACTTTATATGGTACTGCTCACAGGTACTTGTCACAGGTTCAGACGCCCCCGGCCACCGCAGAGACCCCCCCACAGGTGTGCAGCCCCCAGAACCCAAGAGGAGAGCGAGAGCAGATGAGGTGGGACTGGAAGGGTGCTAGCCCCCTAAATAGCCAGTGCTTTCGGTAGCAGCCTGTGAAGGCTGCGCAAGGGAATGCGAAATCAAACGGCAATGAACTTGCTTGGTGTTGGGTGTATCCGCCACCCCCTCAAACCCTTTGGGGGTGTTGGGGCAGCCCTAACATCCGCAAACCCTATACACCCATCACCCTAAACCCCATGAACGCCTGAACCCCCTTGTAAGCCCTACACCTTGGGACGTTTTAACTCGGGGATACGATAATCCCTGCAGCAAGGACTGCTAGTATAACGGGGGTAACATCCCAACCTACACCCATACAAGCCCTGAGCCCATGAACCTAAACTCAAAGCTCGAGCCCGGCTTGGTTTAGGGGTTAGGGTTTAGGGTTTAGGGCTTGGTTCTCCTGGGCTGCAGCAAGCTCCTCATGCCTGGGCCACTCTTGCAAGCGGATGTTTGTGGGGTTTTTGGGGGGGGCAGGGGGGTCCTCTAATCCCTATTAAACCCTGTTAAGGACTGTCAGTATAAGGGAGAACATCCCAGGGTATAGAAACCGTGTGGGAACCGAAAACCCCGACAAAAAACTTAAAATCACCGATCTCGCTCTGTGTATGCACATCTGTACGTGTCTTGTATGCCTCTACGTATATGTATATAACGTTTATGTATGTATATATATATAACATATCATAATAGAACATGTAATACTGTGTATGCACTCATATGTGTTCATGTATTTGTGGCACTATACCTGACCAGATGCTTCTGCGTGTCCTGCAGGCCCCGGATTGCCGCAGCCCCTGTTGTGAGGCACACACAAATGGCCGGCCGAAGCAGGCGACACATGAGCCTTCTGGCTTTGGATATGGCACACTACGTCACTGCGTCGAAAAAAGCTCGGGCCTAGCGCGGCGGTCAGCATGTCCAACGTGGATTTGTTTTTGGCGGTTGCGGAAGCGGGTTCTACGTATCTACGGGTCCTGTTGGTCAAGGGTCCTGCAGTGCAGCTTCTACCCCTTGCAACTGCCCTAAGCTGAAACCCTGAACCCTACACCCGGAAAAGGAAACCTCGACCCTCTGGCGCGCTGACCGCGATGCCAGGCCTCCGAATTTCTGCTACAGGGAGCTACAGAAAGGCCATGGCATAGCACCCCTGAAATTACTCTAAAGGTCATGGATAATTGCCCAAGAGGGTTGAGAGTCTAGTGAGGTGCTTCTAACCTCAGTCTAAACCTCCTTCCGCAAACGCCTGATCCTACACAGTCTCGGGAGTCAGGAATGCATTTCCTTTGCGTCGCGCAACTCAGACTTCTAAGTGGTTGCAGCCAGCTGCAAATTTAGAGGCTCAGCGGCACTTGCCGATGTAGGCATAGTAGCACCCGCGATCCTGATTACATCCGGAGCTGTACGAGAATGTAAAGTACTGTGTCTTCCTTCCCACGGCGCAGCTGCAGCAGATGTAATTCCCGGTGGCGACCTCTTCTTCCATATTCTGGCTCCCTTCTCCGAGAGCTTCGGTCAACTCGCCATCCAAGTGTTCTCGAGCGCCCTCCTGTTCTCAAAACCCTTAGGTTTGGGTTTTTAGGGGTCTGGGATGGTCTGGGACTGGGAGCTTATGACTGTTGCGGCAATTCGACATCCCTTTTATCAAGGTTCCTTCTTTAGGAACCGGGCTCTTGAGAGGAAGGTCAGGTACAGCTGCTCAAGGGCAGATTCTAACATCGGATTTCGGCCATATTGAGGCCTAACCAACCAGACTGGGGTTTCCAGGTGGAAAAACATATTACGGAGCCCTAGCTATGGCATGAAGCTATCATTATACAGTGATTCACGCCCCCCAGCCGCACTACAGAGACCCCCCACATGTGTGTGCAGCCCCCAGAACCCAAGAGGAGAGCGAGAGCAGAGGAGGTGGGACTGGAAGGGTGCTAGCCCCCTAAAGAAGCCAGTGCTTTCGGTAGTAGCCTGTGAAGGCTGCACAAGGAAATGCGAAATCAAACGGCAATGAACTTGCTTGGTGTCGGGTGTATCCGCCACCCCCTCAAACCCTTGGGGGTCTTGGGGCAGCCCTAACACCTAAACCACACATCCGCAAACCATATACACCCATCAGCCTAAACCCTATGAACGTCTGAACCCCTATAAGCCCTGCACCTTGGGATGTTCCCCCAGTCCTTAATAAGGATGAATGTAATCGGGGATGCTATATTCCCGATTAAGGACTGTTAGTATAAGGGGGAACATCCCAACCTGCACACCCAAACCTTGAACCCTAAACCCTAAACCCTAAACCCTAAAACCTAAACCCTAAACCCTAAACCCTAAACCCTAACTAGCACTAACCCCTAAACCCTAAACCCTAAACCCTAAACTCGACGCCGGAGCCCGGCTCGGTTCTCCTGGGCTGCAGAAAGCTCCTCATGCCTGGGCCGCTCTTTTGCAAGCGGATCTTTGTGGCATCTTTGGGGGATAGATGTCCTTAATAGGGATCGTAATCGGGGGTACTATAATCCCTATTTAAGGACTGTTAGTAGAAGCGAGAACATCCCAAGGTATAGAAACCGCGTGAAAACCCGGACAATAACTGAAAATCACCTCTCTCGCTCTGTGTATGCGTGTTACAATCAATATATATATATATATATATACAAATATATATAGAAGGGTATATATAGTGGGTGTATATATATATATATAACAGAACACAAAAAGAATGCTGTATACAATCTTATGTATATACACATGTACTTATGTATTTGTGCACAAACTGACCCAGATGCTTCTGCGTGTCCTGTAGGCCCCGGATTGCCGCAGCCCCTGTTGTGAGGCACACACAAATGGCCGCCCAAAGCAGGCGACACATG